AATTGTTTGTCCCTGGAACGAGACTGGAAGTGACGCTGCTGTTTCCAACTTTTGACGATTCTGAGGTCCGAAATTTGTTCTATCACCGGTTGGCATAGAATTTTTATTATTATATGAATCTGAATGCAATAATAAATTATGTGCTTTATTACACTTTCTACATTTAAATTTTTGGCATTTCCAGGAGGGATGAGAATTCCTCAAGCAATTTAAGCACAAATTCAGCCGCTTCACTTCACTTATACGATCATTCACAGATAATTGTAAAAATGAACTACATTTAAATATACTATGTGACTCCTTACAATAGTAGCACTTAAAACTGCTATCTGAATTATTTTCTACAGCTGAATAACTTTGGCTTTCACCTTTATTTTTTCTAAATGAATATTTATTTTCATATTTATTAAACCTACATGTTTCTAGCACTTTATTATGTACTTTTGACACTTCCAATTTTTCTAAAACTTCACATTTCAACTTAAGAAAACTGTTAAGGTCACCCATGGTTAGCAGTTCACTCTGATATTTGTAACTCTCCCAATCACGGCGAGTTGTTGCATCAAATTTATTAGTCATGATATATATAATTAATCGATCCCAAGAGTCAGTATTTTCCCCCATAGATTTAAGCGCTCTTAAATGTTTTGTAATTGTATCAAACAAGTTGCGCAATTCAATATATGATTCCTTCATTAAACTGGGATGATCAAATATTGCTCGTATGTGGTTATAAATTATAAGTTTTTTATTTTCAAACCGATCTGTTAAAAATTGCCATGCAACAATATAGTTAGCTTCAGAAACTTCTATTGATTTTATTATTTCTAGAACCTCTTTACTAAGTGAAGATTTTAGGTAATAAAATTTCTGAATGCCATTTAATGAAAGATCTTTTTCAACTAGACCTATAAAGGAATCTTTAAACTCTAACCAACTACTATATTGACCATCAAATGTTGGCAACTTAATTGGCGGCAATTTAACAACAGACTTACTTACTACATTAACAATATTATTATTATTTGAGCCATGTCTTGAACTAACCACGGACCCATTACTAGCATCATCTTTTACCTGGTGTTTATTTATGAAGGCAGTGATTTCACCTACTAATTTGAAATAAACCTTCTCAAAATCACCTCTCTCAGCATCATCTGCTGAATAATCTAAATCATCGACTATACTACTAGTTTGCTCTATTTCAAGCTGAATTTCTTCAAATTCATCATACATCGGCGTCAACCGATCTAAACGAGACTGTAATTCAGTCACTAAATTATGTTCAACATTATCTTTGTTTATTGATTTAAAATAATTTTCTAATCTGGTAAGTTTTCCTTTAATTATACCCCGTTTTACTTTTAGGTTTGCTGATTCTGCCATATTATTGACTCAAATATCGGTATTTACAAGAATTATTAAAATCAAAACGAACTTACTCAAGATATAACAAAAGAAATTTGCCCAATGTCTGTAGTGGAACACGACACTTTTCTTCTTTCTCCTTTGTTTCACAATCAATCTAATTGAATCTTGAATTTACCTTCTTTAACCTTCAAGTTCTCCTGTTACCTGTTACCGGAATTCTGGTGTTTATTCACCTTTCACCTGAAATTTACTCGATTATTCTCAATTAATCAATATTTTCGCTGATTCCATATTCGGGTCGATTGGACCAATGTTTAATTGTCTTTGAAACTTGTGGACTGTATATTTTTTATTTTGTTCAGCTCAAATTCGCCAAATTCGGGGAGGAAAACGGACAGGATTTTGAAACATTTCATTAATTTATTGACAACTTGACAACTCGTCAACTAAAAACTAACTGGTGCTAAAAGATACAGAGTTTTCAAAAGCAACTTGAATCAAACACAAATGTCGGGCTTTAACAATGTTTGTTAAAGCCTGAGTGCAAAAATGTATATCCCTCATTAAATTCTTAAACCTAAAAAGCTGAAATTTTCCCTAATCCTTATATCTAAAAAAAGCTTAAATGTTCCTTAACAATTCATTGAACCCTGTGCAATGTAACAGTACAATATAACCCTTGACTTCTTGGCCTGATCAGGACCAAAAGTTATTAATTAAATCCAAGAATTTAAGACATAAAGTTAACCTTATAATTATAAAAAACCTGTTTAATCCATGTCCATCTAGAGGGAGTTCAATTAAAGAACCCTCATAAGAGCCACCATGAAGACATTTCTAAAGGTGCTGGAGGCTGCGAGCTGCACACTCTCGTAGATAAAATTGTAGTGGTTTTTAGTGACTGACACCACTACAGTTGGAGCCCCTCGGTAGATCCTAATAATTATATTTATCTTTTATAACAACCCTTGCATGGTGATTTAAGGGATTATCATAGCCGAAGCAAGCTTACCTTGAAAATCAAGGATCTGTAGACAAAAAGAGTGGCTCAACCAGGAAAATATTGATAGAGGGCATCTCCCAGGCCATCCAAATGCACTTTAATCTATAATACAAGACGAAATTAGGCAGGATGCCTTAGATAAACTTGGAAAACCAAACTTACCGGCGATGATCTCAAACGAGGTCACGGAACTTTCTCGATAACACAAGGGAAAAACATTTCCACGAGCACTAGGCCACTACGAGCAATTAACCCTTACTCATTTAAAGTGAAATTCAAGGAAACTGACAAAATTTTGACTTTCTGAAGGGATGAGGGATAAAATTATTATTAAAGGGACCAGTACGACTGTACCGTCCGAGCACCTTCAGAAAAGTGGCTTTTGTGGCTTAGAGAACGACAGGAAGGTATGACATGACATTCGGAGCATGAATTTAGCAACAAACTTAAGGGTCTGTATACAACATTAACTTAACTTAAAATTATTTACATCTTGATATTAAACCTCAAATATAGCCTTAATGGTAACATTGTAAATATTGCTCAATAATCTTACAAAATAACAATAATAATAATAATAATAATAAACAGTTTAAGATTAGCAGCTGAAAACAATATTAAATTTGGCGAGTAGCAAAATCAAGGTTACAACTGAGAGAGGTTGTCTGGTAAAAATACATTTCAACAGTTACGCTACGTCATCAACGGTACTGTACAACCTGCCGTTCCAAGACATTTTAAATAAAATTCACAACTAAATACGAAGTAGCTTTCAAACGCTACAATTTGGGTACAGAGATATCGAGTCACACTTACATTTACATTTCCTAATGCCTATTTTGAGATGAATAAACCAGACCATCGAATGATTTCTGTTGATACTATCTCATATTTAACAAACTTCTTTAAATAAATAAATCACTATAGACCACCAGTAGGGTTACTTTCAGAATAGGCTCGTTCAGCATTTTTTTTTTATTACATATTCTAAAAGAACGTATTGAGTTTAGCAGTTGTGCAAAATTTCATAATTTTCTTAGCCCTTGTTCATATTTAAATAAATTATCAAAACGCTCCAAATTTGAAATTTTAGTTTGGCATTTTTTCTGTCTGGTAGAACTAGATGTTTTTCTTTCAAACATATTAAAGTATATTTGATTAACGGAAACTGTGTCCCAGTTAACATTGCGTTTTGCAAAACCGTGTGTGACAGCCTTTAGCTTGTCTCGACTCGAGAGATAACGTCATACCATCATGGACACGATCGAATTGTGTGCCTTGACCGATTTTTTTTTGTTGGAATGCCTGGAATGCCCTATCGCCCTATTACATAGTAACTGGTGCAAGAACTGGTGTTTTGACATTTTTTGACAAAAAATTCAAGCTTTAGATTCATGAAATTCTCTCATAAAATACAACTCGTGCAATAGAAATATATCTATAATTTTCTACAAATTTGCACTTATGCGTTTTTTTAAAAAAAAAGGCACTCGTACAGTAAAAATTCATTCGGGCAAATTTCCCAAAAATTATCGATAATTTCCATTGCACTCGTTATATTACTATTGATAATTAGGAATCAGACAATGTGTATTTCTTAGTCTTCTGATTATTTGTGTTTCATAAAGACACAAAATTGAAGGTTTACTTTTAAATGTTTGACCTCAGTTTTGAAATAATAATATCCCTAAATATTTATATGATAAATGTGGTAATGGAATTTTTTGAACTATTTTAATCTATTATATTATAATTATAATTTATTCCCATGTTTATTCCATTCTTGAGGATGCTTTATAAAATATGCTCGAAAATATTTAGTGTCAAACTTTTGATTCGATTATTTTATTCGATTCAACGCAATTTGAACAAATCATATTTTCTCCAGTGACTATACATTCATTTGAATTTTAAATTTACCGCATTTTTTTGCAGATGATGAAAACCAGACGAATTATAGCAGCGTAAAATATTTATTTGTTCATAAATAAAACATACTGCAAAATCGAGTGCAAAATCAATAAAAACATATTATTTTTCCATAATTTCTTGCAAATTCAATGGATCTACATAGGTAGTTCTAAAATTCATTTTGTTTTAATTTTCTTTAAAACAATTAAATTAATATGTATGTTTAATTTTTTCTATCCATTTCGCAAATGAATACAAAAAGGGTTGAAATTTCATTCTACATATTCACCTTAATAAAAAGCTAAGTCAAAAGATTTCTTTTCGTGGATTCAGCCAAGAATAACATAAAGAAAGCCTGGAATAAACAAAAGATTACATGAAAATACTGAGAAAAAAACTCAAAAACAAAAAAACAATGGAGAAGAAAGTGAGAAATACTAGTATGAAGCTTAAAATTTCAACTTAAAATTCTAAGAAGTCTAAAATGTATTCAGGTTTTACAGTGTTTCAAATAGGCTCCATTTCATTAGTATTTTCTTGATTTGAGTACCAGTTTCTTTTCTAACTATTCATTTTCTGTATTCCTTCTCAAAATTATTTTTTTTTAAAATTTGGTCAGCTACAATTAGAGACAAAAGAAACATTGTGCTACACTTTAGCAACATTTTGCATTTTTTTTTTTTAAAATATTAAATATAATTTTCATTATTTTCAGGAATTCATAATCAAAGTTCGTAGAGGCCCCTTCTCGGACCAGACCTGGAAGGTTCACAAACGTTACAATGACTTCCTCAAGCTGCACCAGCTGTTGCAAGTGTCCCAGATCCCTTTGGAGTTACCCCCGAAAAAGCTTATTGGAAACCTGGACCCACAATTTATCAGTGAAAGACAGAAGGCCTTACAAAAATATCTAGACACAATCCTAATGAATCCGATATTGGTTTCGTCGTTGCCAGCAAGATCTTTCGTAGATCCTGCCAATTATTGTCAGCCGTTCGCTGAAGTAGCTTTGCAACATGTATCTTTGGCCTTGAGAGGTGAATTTGGTTGGGAAGTGGCCGGACCTTTAGCTGAAATAGGATGGCGGTTACGTAAACATTTTTACACAATCAAACACAAATCTAAATCCAAAGACGAACTGATTGGTAGCTGGACTGATTATGGTCCTGATAAGTACTTAGATGACAAGGATATGCATTCGGTTTTTAAGAGTCTACATCAAATAGAACACCCTTACATTGGTCAGATTGGTCTTTGTTTGTGCACAGAAATTGGTGGCCTTGTGGTGAGAGACATGAACAAAAATGGTTCCTTGAGGGACTTACTTTGTGGTGCCAAGCCAAAATTGTCTTTTCTAAAAAAATACGGCAATCCTAAGGGCCATAAACTACTGACAACTGACGACATAGCCTTGTATGGCAGACAAATATTGGAAGCTTTAAAGTTTTTGCACGAAAAAGGTTTTCCTTATGGTCACCTACACAGCGGAAATATTTTAATTGAAAATGATAGAATCAAATTGACTGATATTGAAAATGGCGTGCTAGGAGTACCGTCCTATTACAGGCCGTATTTCATGCAACATAAAAAAATCAGTACACTGGAAGCTATTGATGTTTACTGTTTCGGACATGTACTTTACGAAATGGCCATAGGTACGCCGTTACACGAAAGCTACATTGAAGAAATTTCCGAATGTCCGCATCAAATCAAAAACATCCTCCAATCGATTCTGTCGCACGACGCTTGCAAAAACGGCCTTCCCACAATCGACGGCCTGCTAAACGACCCTTTTTTCGCTAGGGTGCACCTGAATTTGACTGACAAGGATCGTGCCCACTTCAAGATTCCTTCGGCTGCCAAGGAGCACCTGAAAACTGTTGTGCTGAAAATTGAGGAACGGCTCAAAGGCGAGCAAAAGGTGGTGAGGAGCCAGAAACGGTTGACGAAAGTGCAAGAGATGATGAGCAGCGAGGAGGAGAGGAAAAAGCACAAGAGTAGAATTGTAAGTAACTTTTTTGATGTTGATTGGATTGAATTTACTAATTCGAGGTGGAAAAATCTTGCATTGTAAATTATTTCCAGATTATTTTGGACCATGGTACTAGAATTTATTGTTTATTATTATTATTGAGATCAGTAGAGGGTTTCTAGAAAAACCGATGAGATTGCCGTATTTGGTTAGACTGCTATTACAGTCTTAGTTCTGTTTCTTGGTCTATACACATTAATGTACAAAGAAGGATGTATGTAATCCAATTCTCATTTCCTGGTCGAGGCGATTCTTGAATTGATTTTTGGAGGTAGGGTAGAGTTAATGGTGTGAACACTCGGTTTCAACTGTAGACAATTCCATTTTTGTTTAGAAAGTTTTTGATCGTGACCTCTTAGATTTGTGTTGTGACTAAGGTGGAAGATATCTCTCAGATTACAGGCATAGTGACCGTTGAGTATCATATGCGTTTTAATGAGATCATTTCTGATTCTCCTGTCCCTTAAAGTTGTGAGGTCTAATTTTACGAGCCTTTCCCCATAGGGTCGATCTTTAAGTTCTTGCGGTAAGCTGGTCATCCAATGTTAATCTTCTGATGACAATCAGAAAAATAGGATTGAAACCATGTGAGTCCTCTAAAGCCTTAATGAGAGAGCTTCTGCAACAGGATGTGGTGATTGACGCAATCAAATGCTTTCGATAAATCGCAGAAAGCTGCTGCAAAAATTGGAAAATTGCATCATCTGTATTGCGATGTTCTCGAAAGCGAAATTGAAGAGAACTTAGAACATTGTTTGAGATCACTCAACTTTTAACTAGCTTTTCTACAATTTTGGATAGATTACAAAGTAGTGATATGGACCTATATAATTAGAGGGATCTCCCAAATCTCCGCTCTTGTGAAATTGAAATGGAATTACTTTTGCCAGCCTAAACCAAAACATCTAAAACTTTTGCAGGCAAATTTGTAAATAATTTTATAGACAGACCATCATCCCCAGACCTTTTTTTATTTTTGATACCTGATATGATCTGTTTCAACTCTCCCAGGGTAGTAGGAAAAAAGTAAAAGGAATAATTGACCCCCGCATTATTTGAAATAAAACGTAGGTGGATCAGTGTGTTGAATAATATTTTTGGGCAGGTTTTCTGCCATAGAACAGTAAAGTTTATTGACCGAGTCAGGAGACATGTCGCTATCATTGATGCTTGGAGAAAAATGACTTTTCCTATGAATATCCATGTATATTCAAAAATATTTTTAACTAATGCGTATTAGAGTATCAAACAACTTTGTAATTTAATTTTTTTTTCTTGCATCACCCTGTAAAGAGATATCGTCCGATATCGCACTAAGTGGACACCCTGTATATAGAATTAAAATTCCATATATTCTAACCTAATTAACAAGGGTGTGAAATGATGTAAACTCTCTAATGAACTAAAATCTCCACTAATATAATAATAAAATAATTGAGTAATCACTCCTATCTTAATCATAACTAAGCATTTGACTTATACCAAAGAATATTATAGTTAACTCTTATAGAAAACCTATTCCATGTATATTTTTTGACCCCCTGAATGGAGCCAGACAAAAAAAAAAAATGACTCCACTCAACATTCCCTATCTCCCGCAGAGCATAATTTTCTTTATTTTCTACTTTACTATTATAGATCCATAATACCTAGCAAACGAAATACGTTAACACACCTATAACAACCTGATCCATAACGCCCGCTTTTGCGGGCGTTATGATCTATAACGCCCGCTTATAATACCTTAAGGTGTTTTTGTTGTTGTTGTTCTATTAATTTGCACTTTACCCTAGGCAGCCACTAAATGTCTGACCGAAAATAATTTTCGGTCTAGCCAGGATTCGAACCCGGTCTACCATCAATGTTTCCCATGTAGTCCAGCGCGTTAACCCACAGGACCACCACCGTTGCCTTGCCTTATGAGATGTTTATAGATATATTAATTGATTTCGTTTCTATGTACAGGTCGCAGGTAGGTACAGGTACAGGTCACAGGTACAGGTACATGTCAAAATACAAAACAATATTCTGTCACACAAGTTTAACTGATTTTGTTAATAACAAATTGATGAAAAAACATTGTGTTGAGTAGAAAATAAAGCATTGTATGCACCACGGGGATTTCAAGATTATAATGCCCTTCAGGCGAAATATATCCCTCGGGCCATAGGCCCTCGGGCTAGTTTCGCCTTCGGGCATTATAATCTACATAATCCCCTTGGTACATAAATAGCTATTTAGTTTATATATTTTCTGTTTCATGTATAATTAAGTACCTACCTAATATTTATCAGAATAGATGTTTCTTTTATTTCCTAAATACAGCAAATTAGACGTAGCAACTAGGTATTCAGTAGCAACTGTATTATTTTGTGAATGTCTATTATATGATTTATTGTAACTTTTGTTTTTTTTACATATCATCTAATAATGTCGATGTAAAAAAAATATTCTAAAACCGCCGCGCCAGTTAGTCTATCATCTTACAAGGTAAAATCACAGTAAAGTAAATATTAAATGCACGAGAGGAGGAGCGCGCAACGCTGCTAAAATTTGTTTGCCGGAAAGCTAGCGCGAATATAAATTATTTCAATTTATACCACCGGAGCAGCGCCTCTAGCGGTCTGCCGTCGCCCATAAGCGTAGGTTTTCTATAAGTGTTAACTATAATATTATTTGCTTATACTAACAACCCTTGATAATTATATTAATATACAATTGGTTATTGCATCTTAAAAATCCAGCTCATGTAATTATTGTTTCTCTACACACACATATGCTTCGAATATAATATGTATATCATTCTGACATATGGCTTCGTTAGAAAACGTGGTTCAGAGATTATTCTTGACTTTGAATAAATTATTACAACTACATGGGTCTCATTTAGTCGAGAGATTAGTTTAAAGTTTAGTGTTTATCTCGGAAAACATAAATTTTGCCTATATATTTGTCAATTTTGCATTACAGCAATAATAATCTTGAAGCTCAAGTGCTTTTTACCCTCGAACAGATTAGACCTTTCGCAGAACTTCATGTGTTTGTGAATTTCATCATAGGATCACATTTTAGCTATCTATAAAAATAAAACTTTTCCCACGAATAATGAATTTGAACCGAGAATATAAATTTGTTATTGATTTTGTTACATTATTTTTTCCATGTATTTACATAGTGCACTTGATGATTTTCTTTCTGTATGTTGTTTATTTGCTTTTTTGTGATTTTCTGTTCTTCCAAGCTAACCTGTGCTCATTCTGGTGTTGAGCATGTGAGACAATGGCTCTTTCGTTCTTTTTTTTGAGAAAAACTGGTATCAAGCCCTGAGATTTTAATGATTTGATTGCAGTTTATACTTTTTCTGCTGTGAATATTATGTTGGTTATTTCAGTCCTGGAGTAGGTTCTAAGGGAAGTGTGGGTTTAATTGTGTTCTGATCCAATAATATGTATACGCTTTCAAATTGGTCCGCAAAGCATTCTGCAATTTCTTGGTTGGTTGTTGGGTTGCTTTATCAGTTATGTTGAAGTTTATATGCTTGGCGTTGAGGGTGCAACATATGTAGGCATAAAATTGTTTGTTATTTGTCAGTAGATTGTGTTCATAAGTTTTTCTTATCACTACTATGCACGCTTTAGTTTTTTTGTTGATACCTTTGATAGATTTGGATATCTTTTGTGCCACAGATTCTTTTTCTGCTAGATATCTTTAAATACTTTTCTAGTCAGCCATGGTTTTTGCTTGTTAACATCTTGAGGTCTTATTGGTATATTTATGTTAATTGATCTGTTTATTGCCTCTTAGGAAGTGTCAATATTTGTTTGATTAGCTACTTTATGTAACTCTGGAGAGAGTTGTTTACAGCATCATAGTCAGCTTTCCAGAACTGTCTTTTGTAAACTTTGTGAGTTGGCTGGGTTATAACTTGAAGTTGTGTTTTGGCGGTAAATACTACATAGCCGCTTTTTCCCAAAGGTGCATGTTGTTGGATATCAAAAATTAGTTTCTTCTCATTAGTTATAAGTAAGTCTAGAAAGACATTGATTGTTATATGAAGGACTGCACAGACAATGATTATGTGGTGGTTCTGGTAGGTCCAGGAATTAGGAGGTGTTCAAAAAAGTTTCTACCTAACGCTGTTATCTAACAAGTGCTTTTTTACAAATTTGGTTATATGTTCCACCCCTAGGCCGGCATACACACACGTTATTTTGCGCGGTTTATCGTGTCATCTGCAAAAACCTGTGAAAAATCATGTGCGTGAGTGAAGAGGGATGCACATAATGATAGGAAAGGAAGGGATTTCAGACGTGCTTTCATCTGGATTGTGGCGTCAGTACCCTAGTGCAGTTTACCACTCATTTGATGCTAGTACGAAGATATGAACGTGCGTAACGAATTAACACTTTTTCCTCGCACACATACGATTTTTCCTTTAAAACTGATATGCCACGCGTAATCACGTGCTAAATCATTTGAATACTTTATCAAGTGTATGGAACATGACGCTTTTTTTGCCACGCCGTTCTTTCGCGCATGCTTTCCGCCACATCTCAACATGCCACGATAAACCGTGCGAAATAACGTGTGTGTATGCCGGCTTGTCACAAACTTTTTCTTCAACGATCAAAGAAATTTATGACATTCTCCTTGAATTTTATGACCTAAATAATAACATTAGAGCCATGACTTATCGGAACAAATTTCTGACTTCATCTTGTTTTGTGCGTAATTCTTATCTAAATAGGATAGGCTTGAATATCATGGCGAAGACTATTAACGAAACAATCGAAAACTTTTCTCTAGCCACCAATAAATCTTCCAACCTAATCCATATTAGAAGGCAATCAATTTGCCCGAGCAAATTGATCCGTCCGAACAATGTTGGCGGTGGCATCTCTTAGGATCTACAGGTTAGCATTAATAGTAATAATTTTCATAATGATAGTATTGGTAGTAGCAGAAGTTTTACTTGTGAGAGTCCTCCTTCTTTTGAGGATATAGTTTATGTGGTGAAGATTTTGTCAAACGGAAATGCTGTGAATTTCTCATTACCTAGGAATTGTGATAGTGATAATCAGTCTTTTTTAGTTAGACCAGATTAAAAAAAAAAAACTTGCAACCTTATGTTAATAAATATAAGATCTGTGTCAAATAAAGTGGACGATCTTTTGCTATTTTTGAATTTTCATACGTTTCCTGAGATAGTTGTTTTGTGGAGCACTGGCTAAAACCAGATGGGACAATTTATGTACCAAACTATGTTTTAGTCTCTAAGTTTTCTAGACCCCTGGTTTTCTCATGGAGGTAGGTACTTTAATTTTAGTGTGCGAAGATTTTTTGACCAACTGTTGTGAGTTTGTTCAGATAGATAAGTATGACTACCTTCTTGAGGAGAGAGAGTTTGCGATTTTGCAATTGTGTTTTGCGCTTGGCTGAAATTGTATGTTTTGGGTTTTTTCAGGTCCCCAGTGACAGCTATAAATCGAGTTATGTGTCAACACTATTATCAATATGATTCCTTTGCAATCGAAAAATTGCCAAATTGTACTATTTTCTACCCTCTCTGACTGAGATAATAGAAAAACTAATTCAAGTTAGACTAACATCTTTTCTACCAAAGCATCTACAATTCGGATTTCAAGCAAAGAAAAGCAAAAGTGATGCAATTTTTTACTTTGTGAGCATCTGTACATACACTTGAACTCAGGAGAAAAAGGCTTCGCTATTTTGTGGAACATTATTATTGTATCTGACTCCTATTCATTCATCTCTCCTTTCTGCTTTCGCTTTTCCAGATTTTTGAGTATGTCCTTTGAATATGTTTGTTGAAGAAGAGGTGTTTAGATTGCTTTGAGATAGATATTGTCGAGGATATTGTCTTCTTCGAGTTTTGCCTTATTTCTTAAAATTTCTGTGACTATTGAAAGAGATGAGGTCATAATTATTCTAATAGGCATGACTTTTCCCTGAACAGTTGCTCCAAGACGGTATACTTTTATATCATCTTTTTGAGTATTATCCTTGTCCAGATCACAGTATTGTTCTTTTTGTAAAGAATTATTTTTTTTATTTTGAAGAGGACGTTGGAGCCCGCTTTTCTCGTTCAGTTAGTTTGAGCGAGAGATGTTATTTTCGGTAGGGACTCTCACCCTTGATGTAGTTTCTTGTGATGTTATTTGTATATTTAACTGTTCTACTTGTTCTTTTAGTTCTGAACTGTCTGCTACAACCTGTGCATATGTTGGTGCATTATTTCCAACCTTTCCTTTGAGTTATTGGGTTTCCCTTTTAAATTTTTGGCAGGTCCTTGACATTGGCGTTGAATAACTCCATGTAATTTGTTCAAAAGAATTTCAAGCAATTTCAAGTGCTACATAGCACTCTTATCTTACTTAGGGCGGATTTTATAAACCTATTTTGACAGAAAACTAATAATTAACTTCTAGTTTTCTGTCAAAAAAGTTTTATATTACCTGAAATTACTATTCCAGAAGTTAATTTTAGTTTTCTGTCAAAAAAGTATTATTATATTATCTATTTCTGATGTTGTTTATCTTAGTTTGGAAGTAAAATACAGGGTGACTCAGAGTAAACTTCCCTTTTCGAACGCGTCCTGTACCTCCAACTTAATATTTGTGTAGGGGTTAGCGCTGCCAATTTACGGCGACTGCGTGCGGATTATCAGTAAACATGGAGCAGTGGTCGAACAAGCAACGCGCGTTTAGTGTCGAGGCGTTTTTTAAATCAAACGATTCCTATGTCGCGGTACGGCGACGTTTTTGTAACCGTTACAATATTCGGCGTATAAGTGATACTCTGTCAAAAAATTTGTTGAAATTATGGGTCAAAGATTCAGACAAATCCGAAGCGTGCCGGCTAACAGAAGTCCATCAGAACGCCAGAGAACATTGGGATTGTGCGACGTGCTGCGACTGAAAATCCGAAACGCTCAATTCGAAAACATGGCAGGACGCTTCTGATTTGCCAATTGCCACTGTACCACTTTGAATCTTTGAGCCCACGATTTCGATCCATTTTTTGAGGTATGGTTATGGTTACAAAAACGTCGCCGTGCCGGGACATAAGAATCATTCGATTTAAACGCCTCAACCATAAACGCGCGTTGCTCGTTCGACCACTGTTCCATGTTTACTGATTATCCGCACGCAGTCGCCGCATATTTCCAGCGCTTACCTCCCCACAAATATTAAGCTGGATGTACAGGGCGCGTTCGAAAAGGGAAATTTACTCTGAGTCACCCTGTACAATAAAAAAACTGAAAATTTCCAGAAACAAGAACGTCACTTGAGAGAACAGAGAAGCAAAGACGGTTCCACCAAAAAGAACCAGTTGGAAAGATGCGACAGCGTGAACAGTAGCGCTCCTACTTCGGTCGGAACGGCTACTCCACCGTCAGTAGCTGGTTCTACCGTTCCTTCACCTCCACCTCCGCCGCCACCTCCAGTAGCGCCCGACATACCTCCACCACCTCCGCCGTTACTCACCAATGGCACGCCTGAAGCTCATACCAAAGACAGATCGGCGCTACTGGGCGCCATTAGTGGTTTCGATAAGTCGGCTTTGAAAAAAGTTCAATCGGCAGTGAAAAATTTACACGTTTAATGTTCTGAAGCATATTAGGAAAGATTCAAATTTTACAGACACAATGGAAAAAATAACAAAGAAAGATTTTAAATCTGGATTGCAGGTCAATATTTCCATTAAGCAAAAAGTGGTAAGTTTTGGATTTGATTTATATAAACCTTGATATTAAACAAACCAGAACTTTAGAACTTAGAACTTATTAAAACATGGAAGATCAATAAAAAAATAACGCACACTCAAAAACAAACATTGTAAAATCTACACAGGTCACAGACGTACCTAATTAAAAAACAAAATTTAAAATAATTTCCATAACATGTTCCCTGACTTGTTGTAAGTAAGGAGTTGAGACAAACAGGTCTTTTTCCGCCATAAAATTCATATAGGGTAAATGGCTGACAAATAACAAATCGGCGTAAGTTATAAAGCTTCCAACGAAATACCCGTTGTTTTCTTTTGCCATTTCTTCGAATTTATTCACATAGGAAGGTACGATTTCGTTAAATAAAACCTTGCCGTAAGCTTCCTTCGTCGTTTTATCTAGTTCATAGCAGTATTTGCGAAGTTTAGTACAAAAATCATTGATTTCACGGACAGCGGCCTTGACTTGCAAATCTTTGACCTCGTTTCTGCGCCAAGGCTCAATGTTCTTAGCCTCCAAACTTTGATGGGAAGTTTTATCGGCGTGTTTCAAAACCGGCATTTGACCGGCGGCGTGTTCCAAAACCGGCATTTGACCGGCGGCGTGTTCCAAAACCGGCATTTGACCGGCGGCGTGTTCCAAAACCGGCATTTGACCGGCGGCGTGTTCCAAAACCGGCATTTTACCGGAAGGCATGGCTTCACACTGATTTTCTAAAAGCTCTGCTGGTTCATCTATTTTTTCCAAATTCCTGGGGGATCGGGATCTTGATCTTAATCTTTCTTTTATAATATTTTTTGGGTCAGGTTGCCAGTAATTTAGTTTTTTTTTTTTATTTTAAATTCCTCCATCGCGAAATCAGTATCACTATCACGTCACAACGTCACACGCCACGTTAGAGTATCTACTGTACTCTAAAAAGTTCCAATAATTAATATCGAAGACTTTATTTTGCTGAAATGATCCTCAACTAGTGAGTATCTTTTCTGTAAAAACTAAATCTGAGTTATAGTTTTTAAAAGAAAAAAGAGAGATCATACACTATAATGTGAAAAATTAGAAGAAATCTCGTTTGAAGTTGGTATTTTTACTTGAGAAGAATATTTTGCGGTGATAAAATGAAATTTTCAATCGTCACCAAGCAATTCCAAAGCCATATTTGTAAATTATCTTAATATTGGGGCCATTCGAACCTCTCGGTTATCGTCATATATTTATTTAGTCAAATAGTATTAGATGTTTGATAGCTATTATTGTATCAGTCTTTAGCTTATAATGAGTCATTTTTACAGCTCTATCATTAAAAAAAAGTTTTCTTCCAATAGTTATAGTGCCAAAGAATGCTTTGTAGTTTAACGTTCAATAAGGCAAAACAGTTTTTTTCAAAAGTATTCTATAAATAAATACAATTTTTGTTGAAATATAAAACTTGATTTCCTATAGCTTTATGTTAAAAAATAAATATGTTTATTGTTCTCCTTTGTCACTTTGTTATTAACGAGGAGCTAATTAATTTGCACTAATAAAAGAGCCTGCACGTCTCTGTGTTTAAAATTATATATTACTCATTCTTCCACTAGTGATGTAATGAGTTTATTATCCATCTTATTTTTTTCAATAGTTGACATAGTTTTTCTTCATATCATTAGTCTATTTGAATATGTACTATAATTAGTAATTGTAATAACTCCGTAATCAATCACTATTAAAAAAAATATGCCTAAACTATTTTATACATTAATTAATGTAGCTGTATACCTAAATGTTCCCTCGACAAGAATTAGTATATTTTTCTCATGTCAAAATCCTTATATTAAGAATATTATCAATAAATATATAAAAAAAAAAATACTAGTCATATTTTAACTAAATATATTTGTATAAGTCGTGTTATGTATTGATTGTATGTTTTGTACAAATTAATTAGTTGTGGCATTTTTAGTCGTGTCAGTTTATTCCATTATTTCTATTGTAATAATACCTTAAATTATTATATAACAATAATAAAGAGATAATATACTTACTTGATTTTTTTTTTTTTTGGAAATTCAGTTGTAGTGAACGACTACAAATCAAATAGCTTCATTTGGAATTACAGTTCTGAGGATAACAATAAGTTTACTAAGAGCGGAAGTACAAGGCAAGGTTTAAACATTTTCAAATTTTGGTTTATTCCTGAACATTTTGTCTTTCAACCTTGACATTATTGGGTGGTCCAAAATGAGCAATTTAGCTCAAAATCTCAATAAGGAAAATTTTGAAATTTCCATTATTTTTGAAGGTAGGAGGGACGACTTTTCTGGGTTGAATTTTTAAAAATTTTGAAAATCCATATTTTCAACTGCATTGAAGATACTCAACTGGAATTTTCTGGAAATGTAATTATACTGGCAGACTACAAATCCTGCAATGTTATCTAATTTGATATTATAGAAGAGTTGATTGATTGATTGATTGAGTGATTTGATCAACGGTAGCAAAGCAGACAGTTTATCTGTTGGCATGCTAGAGCTTTAATAGCTGCTCGGCTGTCTGAGAAGATCGTGACTCGGATCGTGATATTCTTATGCACATATCCCTTTCTCATTTTTTTTCCCACAGGCATATCTCTTGCATGTATTTCGGATTGGAATACGGTGGCGTGCCTCCCCAGTGGAGAATACCATTTTAATCTTGGGGATAGGCCATATACTCTAATACCAGTTCCACTGTCGGTTTTGGAGCCAACAGTGTACCATACTAACTCTCCATTCTGGACTAGTGAGTTTTCTGTTTTGTTTTCCCAGTTAATTTGGGTTTGAAACGGTTTGTGAATATTTATTTTCGGGGTCGTGATGATGTCACTTCTCATCTCAAATAGTGAGTTTTCAACAATGTTTCTGGTATGTGCGGATGTTCTTCTTGGATTCCAGTTCTGGCTATAATTGAGTCTGTAAGCCCCCATTCTTCCTTCAGCTTTGATAATGATATCAAGTGGCGGGAGGTTAAGTATGATTTCCATAGCAGCAGTTGGAGTGCTTCTCATGCAGAGCTTGATTTTATTTTTCAGAACTCTATACTATAATCGTTATTGATAATCACTGTATGTGGTGGATCTGTTAGAATATTTATCTACAAAGCAAGTAGTCTATTTCGTGAGATATCATACTCTCTGGAGTCTGGAGATATCTAGGTTTTTTCTGTTGGTGTAAAAGAAGGGAATTTTTGTCCATTTCGATCCTTACAATCCTTACTAATAAAAGGTGAACATTTTTGGAAATAAATTAGTTTGAGTTTGTTTCATATTTTCCATTTTATCCAGATTTTAGCCTGTTTCTCATTATTTAAGCCTCAATTTGTCCAGTGCTGACATAGATAGGGTTTCCAACAAGCGTCTAGCCCCCAGCTGGCAACTTTTATTCCTAGAGGCCTGTCAGGTGTCGCCATGCGAGTGTATGCGCACTTTGACGTCTTCCTTCTTCCAGCTGACTGGTTCCAGCGCGCTGCTTTTGTTTATGTTGTGAATTTTGTGGTGAATCGAACTGTTTATTGTTTACTGTTTTTTGCTCGGTTTTTTGCAATGGATAACAACAAAATTGATAAATTGTGTTGTAAATATTGTAAAAATGAATTTGGTTATTTATATAATTTGAGGAAACACGTGAACAAATTTCATTCTGATGATGAGGACTATTTAAAAACTATTTCAAAACATTCAAATAGTGAATTTAAATTTTCATGCAAGATGTGTCATAAAAATTTCAATCACAAAAAAAACCTGAAGTTTCATACTAAAACTCATGAACGACAACAAGATCAAGTGCCTGAAATCTCAACTGGAATCACAACAGAGTTCAATGAACCCATTACTGGAGCTATTACCACTGCAAAATGTGCAATGTGCCAAACTGAGTGTATAAATAATAAGGCTGTTTTACTGCACTACGCAGAAGCTCATGATATTGTGCTGAAAAAAAAATCATTTATTCTTCCAAAACTTGATGAATTTTATGCATGGAAAAGGAAATTTGAAAGTGACACTAATAGCAGATTTTTTAAAGTATCTTCTTCTAACTCATGTAAAACCCATAAGTACATTCGATTTACGTGCCATCGTTCAGGTCAATATGTTCCAGAAGGCAAAGGTAGTAATGTTTGTATTTTATTGTTTTATAATTTTTATACTTGGGAATATTTTGATTTTAGGTGTTCGACATTTGAAAACCCAGGGCAGTAATAAGATTAATGCTGTCTGTCCAGCAACTATTACATTGAAACACAGATTCAGTGATGGCATATGTGAAATACAAGTACAAGAAACACATGTAGGTCATCAAAATGAAATTGGTCATCTGAATTTAACTAAAATTGAACGCGAAAGTCTGGCTGGAAAAATTGCTTTGAAAATTCCGTTTGATGAAATTTTGGATGACATACGAAATTCTATATGCGACAACACTCTAAAACGACTTCATCTCCTAACAAAGAAGGATCTCTTCAATATAGAATTCTGTTACAACTTGAGTTCTACATCAATGAGACACTCGAATGATGTTGTATCAGTTAATTCCTGGATCCATGAAATGCAAGAAAAAGGCCAGGCAATTCTATTCTACAAACCTCAAGGCAGTCTAAATAATGAATATCCTATTTTGAAAGAAAGTGATTTTGTCTTAGTTATTATGACAGATGCCCAAAGTGAAATTTTAAAAAAATACAGTTCAGATTGTGTTTGTATTGATGGAACACACGGAACAAATAGCTATAATTTTGAGCTCACCACACTGTTAGTAGTTGACGATATGCGAGAAGGATTTCCTTGTGGATTTCTCATATCAAATCGTTCAGACAAAGATGTTTTTATAATATTTTGCAATTGTATCAAAACACGCATTGGTGGCGGTATTGTCTGTAATGTTTTTATGTCAGATATGGCTGAAGCATTCTTCAATGCCTGGATAGAAGTAATGCCTCCTCCAAAGCAAAGGTAAAAAACCTAAGTATTTTTTTTATTATGTAATTTTTTCACTTTATAATTAAATTGTTTCAGACTGTTTTGTAGCTGGCATGTTGATCGCGCATGGCGAAATAACTTATCAAAAATCAAGACTACTAAAAAACGGGTATTAACAAGTGTTCAAATTCAAATTCAAATTCTTTATTACCAGGTGAATAACAATCAATACACGAGTACATACAATAGCTTACACTACTACAATGTACAGTATATCCTGCAGAGACAACAAAGTCTGTGTGCAGGCCTAGCTGGTGAAACTCTGCAGACCAGCATATACAATGAATGCAGCCTCACAGAGCTCCACCATCAACCTATGACTAAAGGTGCACACCCTTACTTAAAGTATGATAATGAGCAAATTACCACACTTCAAGTCGTACACCTAAAAAAAATCCCTAATGTAAGAGCAACATTTCAGTTATTGTGTTTGTAACAATCATTATATAATAAATGTATATTTGTACAAATAAATAGTTATGCTAACAAAATTCACACTCACAAGATGAATTCTTTTTTTTTTTTTTTCTTTTTCCCTATATAATATTATAATTATATTATAAATTTATATTTGAATTTATTAGAAAAATTTTAATTCTATTTTTAAAAATTTTACTTACTCTAGCAGAAAGTTTTAATTCATTTGGTAGAAGATTAAAAATCTTAATCGCACTAATTTTTGAAGCCTTTTTTCCAACCTCAAGTGAAGTTTGGATACATGGAATGCTTCTGTTTCTGGTGGAAACGTTTCTACTATTGAAACAGGACTTAAGATAATCAATGTTTATAATTAAAGTTTTAAAGTAATAAATTTGTTTTATTTTCAATATCATATTTTCGTTGTATATCCTATCTAATTGATGACTTCTTACTTGAAATATAAGTTTCACTACTCTATTTTGAATATTTTGTACAAACTTAATTGCATTGTTATATGCACTACCCCACGAGACAACACCATATGCAGCCACAGATTCAAACAATGCATAATACAAAATCAAGAGCGTCTTTGTGTTCAATATGGACTTAAGTTTTGCAAATACAAAAATTAGGTATCTTAGTTTTTTGTTTGTTTGTAAAAGGTGTTCTTTCCATTTTAAATTATTGTCCACAACTACACCTAAAAACCTATGTTTTTCCGTTTTTATCAAGGATCTGCATCTGCACACGGTGCCCATCTCCTCATCTGATTCATGTAAAATCACATTCAGTGAAACAGGAACATTGTCATTATAAATACTAAATAAGATATATTTTGTTTTTTCAACATTGACAGATAATTTATTTTGTCTCAACCAAGAAGCCACATTGTTTACCACCATATTTGCTTTAACTTCCAGACCCCGCCAAGACCTGTCTGAAATAATGATTGTTGTATCATCTGCATAAGATAGAATGACATCACCAAAGTTCAGATTTAGAAGATCATTAATGTAGACAACAAAGAAAAATGGCCCCAGAATTGTACCCTGGGGGACACCTATCTTAACAGAAAGTTCATCACTGTATACATTACCTATCTTTACTGTTTGTTTTCTATCACTTAAATAATCCTTTAGAAGGTCAATTGCAGTGCCTCTAATTCCAATCTTATATAGTTTTTCTAAAAGTAAGTTGTGGTCTACAGTGTCGAAGGCCTTGGCTAGGTCTAAAAATACTGCCATGGTTGGTTTTCCTTGGTCTAAAAGCCCATAAATGGTATCCGAAAACAACTGTAGCGCATTATTCGTTGACATTTTCCTCCTAAATCCAAACTGATTTGAATTTAATATTCTATTCTTTTCAACAAAATTACATAATCTCAAGTGGATAACTTTTTCAAAAATTTTTGCAACATTTGAGATAAGTGAAATAGGTCTATAATTTGAAACCAGACATTTGTCATTTGACTTAAAAACTGGCACAATTTCAGCTTTCTTGAAATGTTCTGGGCAAATACCAGTAGATATAATTTGATTTATCAGCTCGGAAATAGGAAGGGCAATAAATGGACTCAGTTTTTGCAAAACAGCAACTGAAATACCATCAATCCCACCACATATTTCATACATTTTATGATTTAATTACTAAGTACTCATTGTTGTAGGTTATTGTATATAAAACTTTGAGGGCTATTCTGCAAGAAACAGACATACACGCATTTGACAAAATGTTGATTGAATTCAATGGACTCGTAAATGCAGATAATGATACACAAGAATTTGGCATATATTTTAATAAGGAATACATGCCTAACATGTCATGTTGGGCATATTGTTTCAGGATAGGAGCAGGGGTGAACACTAACATGCATTTAGAGAGAATGCACCGTACCCTTAAATATACTTATTTGAAAGGCAAACATGTTAAAAGACTAGATAAAGGTATTAATGCCATAATGTGTTTGGTGCGAGATAAATGCATAGAAAGATTGATAACAATAAACAAGGGGAAACTTTCTTCTAAATTGTCAGCACTTCGATCTAGACATAAAACTAGCTTGACGTTAGACTTAAATTCAGTTATGCCATGTGATGATGGTTGGAATGTGGCATCTGGAAAGAAGACTGATTTATATTTAATTCGCCAAGTGAAAGATCATTGCGAGTGCCATTTGATATGTATTGAATGTAACACTTGTTTGCATAGATTCATCTGCTCTTGCCATGATTCGTCAATTGAATATAATATGTGCAAACACATTCATCTCTTGTGTAAATCATTGGCAAGTGGAGTATGTACGTCCCCAAATACCAGGTATTAAATGTTTTACATATATTTTTATACCTTGTTCATATTTCAATTGAAAAAACTCGTTCACCGTACATCTACATTATTCTACAAGTAAACCTTATTTTTTTGTATTCTTAGGTGTGGATAATACTATGCCTAATATTTTATCAACACATTATTTTCACCTATTTGTGTTATTTATGGGTTACTTATACGTTCGAACCAATATTTTACCTTTGAAATTTGAAATACAGGGTGTTAATAAATAGTGGGATCAAACTTCTAGGATAAATAGTACTCATTAAACTAATAAAAAAGTTAATAGAAACATAGGTCCGCAAATGGTTAGTTTTCGAGATACAGGGTGTCAAAGCTTGAAAAAAATCGGTTTTTCAAAATTTGTTTTCCGAATTTCTTTAAACTTTGCAGATTTGTTTGTTATAACAAAAGGTATCTTTTGATTCAATTAGATTTACCGTAATTATTCCAGTGGCGCCCCAGAGGGCAACTATGTTGGTAAAATTAGGAAAAAAATAGCATGTCACTATTTTTTTATAACTTTGATATTTTTATTTTCAGATTAAGCAAGTCATATTACAGTCAAATGATACCTACCTTTTTTTATCATGTACATACGTGCCAAATTTGAAAAAAAAAATGTAAAAGGGATTTTTGAGCTAAAAACCCAATTTTTTTTCTAACTTTGACACTTTGTATCTCGAAAACTAAGCATTCGCGGACCTATGTTTCTATTCACTTTTTTCTTATTTCAGTGAGTACTATTTATCCTAGAAGTCTGATCCCACTCTTTATTAACACCCTGTATACATAATTAGATTTTTTTCTGACAGATCTATTTGTAGGCTGAATGAAGCAAATGAACGGCAATTTGGTCATTGTTGAAAACCGTCAGGACGAATTCCAACACATTTTAACAGATCTAAGTTCAAAATCATCCACATCGACCTCTTTGATAATGGAAAAAACAAAAATGAAGGAAGCATTGCAAGAACTGATCAACAAAGTCGATTTAATGACCTCACAATCTGAACTTGATGTAGTCAAAAAGTGCATTGCTCCTATTGCTCCTACTCTGGCTTCTTTGAATGCAGCTAATAGCATTCAACATGTTTCCAAAATTCCCCATAACAAAAAGATTGACAAGCAGAGGAAATTTGTTTACACAAAAAAGAAAAACTATTCAAAACGGAATCCCTACAAAAAGCCAACTCGCGAAGAAACTGAAAATATTGCAGCGGCCCTATTACTTAATTAATACCTATTTTTTTTTGTAAAACTGCCTCGCTCAAAATGGAGCTTTTAGTTTCTCACACGCTAGGCAATGTTGATGACTTGTTTCCTAAAAAATAAAAATTACAAAGGTATTTGGTTGTTTTATTTTTAAGTTCTAGAGAAAGCATTGTAAAAAACTTATTAGAAAAACTTTTTTCCACACTATACTTGTGGACCTAGCCGTAGACAACAAACTGTCTCAGACATGCGAAAAGAGTCGTTTTCAAATTTTGTTGTTTAAATAACTATTTTATTTCTTAATAATTGTTTTTATCTAACTCTATTTTAGAAATTTTAGAGTAATCTTTCTCTTACTTATAAATGCTTTCCTAATGGTGTTTGTGAGAGTAACCTAAATAAATAAATAATAAAAATAAACTTATTCTCTTGTCTTGTCTAAGAATTCCCATCCGCATACGAAACTTGATTCTTTTTTCAGATTACGTTTAGCATACTGATGACGCCATAAAAATTATCAGGCAACCTTTCTTTAAACAGCCTCGACAATTGTCAATCTCCGACCCCCTCTACTGGGAATAAAAGTTGCCAGCTAGGAGCTAGACGCTTGTGAGCATTTCTTTCGTTACTACACACTTCCGTTTTGGCATTAATAAAATATCTTCAATTTTTTATTGATATTTGATAATATAACGTTGTGTTGCGTGCAACAGCGCAGGGCCCACATAAATCACACACAATTTAAACGGACTTGGGAATCCTATGGGATTCACAGATAAATACCGATTTAGTACCTTGTTTTACCGCGTGAATAGATCTATCTCGCATGATTAGAAAAAGAGAGCTTAATTGTAAAAAACCCAAGTTAGAAAGCAATAAAAGATGACATGCGCGCGCAACTCGTAGGCTGCAGTGTAGCCAGTTTGTATTGTTGCAGAACAAATGTAGACAATACAAATCGAACATTATAAAATTAAAGAAGTGATAATAGTGTCAAGTATTTTACAACGCCTTAAATCCGACAAAAGAAAAGCTTTAAAATGGATGAACATCGTTTGCACTTTTATTTTGATAAATGTTTCATCCGGCAACATAGCTCAATGAAATTGCAAAGGAATATGTCAAGTATAATCTAACATAACCTTAAACGAAACTGCGGTGAGTTCAAGTAATTAATGTAAAGTATTAGTTTGCTCTTTGTCAAATTACACGTTACAAAGAAAGAAGGAACGATTCATTCTGAACTAGCCCCTGAATAAGAATATGACCCAAGCCTGTAACAAACCCTGCGTTTTTATTCTCATCAAATTTTACTAACTCATCGGTGAAACCATCGATGAGAATAAAAACGCACATATACTTGCTTCTCATTGGACTCTCACCTGCAGCCTACAAGCGACGCGCACTATCACTCAATATATCAGTGTTGCCAACTGATGGGATTCTTTGTAGATACTTGAGACGATAATACTCCTTAATTAGACAGAATTAGAAATAAACATCTATTTTCGGATCTTCAATATTACTTGAATACTTGAGATCCGAATTTTCGGACCTCTAGCCACTGCCTTATTTTTGAGATGCGGAAAACGGATGCATGCTTAAATTAGGGAGGGGAGAGGATACCGCGCACTGGTTTAACGCAATGCTAGGCTTTTGTTACATCAATTAACCGGCCGCCATTTTATTTGTGGCAAACAAGCTTCTGTGGCAGTGTTGATATTTTGTGATTTTGTGACTAAAAAGTTTTAATATTTGACTAAATTTTGTGCTAATAGACATGGTGAATTGTTGTGCTTTTCAGTGTAAAAGTCGTAGCGAGAAAAAGGAGCCGGGAGTATCTTTTCACAGGTAATTAATAAACAATGCATAATAAAACCATCATTATACAGGCGCTTTTTTTATATTTGGGGACAGATTTTATAAATGCCCTATAAGTATCATATTATACTGTGTGTAAGCAAATTACGGGCCTAATATAATTCCCTATTTTAAATGTTTCGATTGAAAAATCAATAATTTTGTTAATTCGATCTGTCAAATCCTTTGAATCTACCAGTGGCGTACACCATTTAAATACTCGATTTTAATTTAAAAAAGTCCTTTAAACTAATTAAGAGCGAATAAACTGATTATTTCCTAACTTACACCCCAAAATACGTATATCCTGAAAAAATCGTAAATTTTGGCATGGTGATCAACCAATTAGACATTTACCGTTTTAACTACATATGATTTTGTGATACGCCACTGGCCTAAATGGTCTTGGGCCAGCCGGTAACACGCAGGCTTGACGGATTACCAGTCCTCTCTCTTTTCTTGTCTAAAGGATGCATGAGACTCCGGCTTTAACCGCAAAATAGGGATGCGCAAAATTTTGAAAACATCGATGTTGACATCAAATGATACATCGAATATGCACAATCGATGTTGTAAAAACATCGGCTTGAAAATATCGACTATTTTTTTCTATTTCCATTTATAATTCTTGTGTTGTGTCAAAATTTGTCCTGGATTTGAAAATAGTCCCTCATATGCAACCGAAGCTGCTACAACGCTCAAGTATTTTGAAGCTATCTTTGATAATCGCAGATATACACTCTTTATTTCTTCCCAATGTTCAACAAATAGATTTTCATCAAATTTTGTTAAGGGACTGAAAGTATTGGTGTAGTATTTAGAAGAAAACATCGCAAAAAAAATCGATGTTGTCTAATAATATGGAATAAAAAAACATCGATATAAACATCGAACATCGATATAAGAAAATCGATGTTTTTGAAACATCGATACATCGTGCGCATTCCTACCGCAAAATACCGGTCGGTAAGAACCGATGCCTGCCTTGCTGTATTCCTTTGAAGAGTTTAAAACACTAGAGCTACTCGCTTCGGTGTTAAGCTACATCCTCAATCAATCTGGTAGCGAAGTGGCACTTTGGCACGCGTGCTGGAAAATTTATACCCATCCTCAATGCTGTCAATTTTCAGTCTGCTGTGCGTGTAGTACGGTCACATACCGTGCATTCGGTATTTTGATCTGAGTTCTCTAAGCATAAATTTACCGTTCGTTTATTCAAAAAGTGTACTCGGTGCAGGCTCATTCACGTTCGTTTAATAAAATTTCGAGCCCTCTGATACAGCGTTTAACTGCTCTGTGCGCTCGCTGGTCACATGATTACGGCTCCACTCTGCTCTTTGAGCAAAATACCGAACGCAAGGATAACCTAAATTAAATTAATTTTTAAACGTACTGCGCATGACATAAGTCGGCACCAATGAACTAGAGCTAAAAACTGAAATGCGCACACAGTGCCATATCTGCCAAAAAAATGAAGCCATGAAAGACAGATGCCACAACGGGGAATGATGTTTTTTTCTGTTGCTAGCTGACATATGGCGTTTTCGAAAGTTTTGTCATATTTCCCTTCACAGGTTTCATCAATTGGAATACGTGTTGGAAGCAATTTTCGCCATTTAACATAATGAGTGCGACAAAAACAGGTATCCCCTCCGCAGCAGCCGCACTAGGCTTCACGTTCGTCCTTATGTGTTGGCATTCCAGTTTTTGGTTATAGTTCATTGGTCGGCACGCATCGAAAAAGCTGGCAGCTTGCAAACTTCACTTTGGAGTCGACGTGCATGCCAACACGGAATTGAATTAAGGATGCCAACGTTAAACAACATTTTCCTAGCTTGCGTGCCGAAGTGCCACTTTGCTACTAAATTGATTGAGGATGAGCCTTTAGTCGACCCTCTGGAACAGATGCACTGGCTTTCAAATGGTTTAAGTACTCTTAACTGCGAAATTCGCTCTTTTTTGACATTGCTTCGACAATTTGACGTTTGATTCACGCATTAAACGTCAAATTGTCGATGCAATGTCAGAAAAGTGCGAATTTTGCAGTTATGAGTACAAGGCTTAAGGGTGGGTATTATAAAACTGCTTTGACAGTTAACTTGAAGTTAACTTTTTGAATTAAGCTACATCCTCAATCAATCTAGTAGCGAAGTGGCACTTTGGCACGCGTGCTGGAAAATTTATACCCATCCTCAATGCTGTCAATTTTCAGTCTGCTGTGCGTGTAGTACGGTCACATACCGTGCATTCGGTATTTTGATCTGAGTTCTCTAAGCATAAATTTACCGTTCGTTTATTCAAAAAGTGTACTCGGTGCAGGCTCATTCACGTTCGTTTAATAAAATTTCGAGCCCTCTGATACAGCGTTTAACTGCTCTGTGCGCTCGCTGGTCACATGATTACGGCTCCACTCTGCTCTTTGAGCAAAATACCGAACGCAAGGATAACCTTAATTAATTTTTAAACGTACTGCGCATGACATAAGTCGGCACGCATCGAAAAAGCTGGCAGCTTGCAAACTTCACTTTGGAGTCGACGTGCATGCCAGCACGGAATTGAATTGAGGATGCCAACGTTGAACAACATTTTCCTAGCTTGCGTGCCGAAGTGCCACTTCGCTACTAAATAGGGAACTTGCAAGTGAACTAAAATTTTCCAAATTTGTTTAAAATCGATAGTTTATGCTGCACAATATTCATATGACCAGTTTTTATTTAACTGATACCGCCCTTGTTACACAAAAAAATAATATTAAATTTGAAATAAAAATTTTCCCGCCAAAACAATGCTTCTATGATGGATACCTGTTTTGACGTCACGATTCTGTAAACAAACCCGTCAATAGGTAAATCTGTGATAGGGAACTTGCACGTTAAAAAAATACAAAAGCAGTCCTTCACAATATTCTTCATCCATTGCGGCAATTTTCATAAAAAGCAAACTTTAACACACTTGAATAACACAAAAATGGCACTGCGTCAGCAGGAGTTCGTTTGCTGCGTATTTGATGTTTACAAAATCTCAACGTCACAAGCGCTGTCAAATTGGGATTTCGTGTTTTCGCGCCAAAGTATTTGATTTGAATTTCAATATTTTTTTTTTCGTACAACATATAAATTAAAATGGAAAAAAGAAAACTATGACTAGAAGTATCTAAAAAAAAATAATTTGAGAAATATGAAAATTCCCTATTGATTGAGGATGAGCCTTTATGTAATTCCAGAAGTTAACTTTAAGTTAACTCTCAAAGTAGTTTTATAATACCCGCCCTAAGTCGGGCTTGAGCACTCAGGTGCAACAAACACTTTTCGAAAGGAATAAGCGCGTAACGCCCCCGAGCTGTTCCGGTTCCGGAGCTCCTTCTAGGTGTGAAAGGAATACAACTATTATTAAAGTGTGTTTTTTTTTTTTAAGATAATTTCTCAAGTCAAAAATTTAGTAACTTTGTTGGCAGCACAAGCCTTTTCTATATATGGTGCGTACGATTTGTCTGAACCGGTTAGCGTTAGTGCGGTGCGTTATGTTTTGGAACGCAACCATTTAAACTACACCAAGAAAATGGAACGAACAGTACGAATGGTGTAAAAAGTGCGACATAGTGCGTACGATTTGTCTGAACCGGTTAGCGTTAGTGCGGTGCAGTTATGTAAATGTTTTGGAACGCAACCATTGGAAACCACCGGGAATATGGAATGCTAAACGGTACGAATGGTGTAAAAAGTGCGACATTAATGACGGGTCAGGGTAAAAAGTGTCAATAGTTGGACTTATCCTACGCACCTAGAAAATTTGAAAGCATTGATAATTTTACGTTGTATTGCCAACATAATGTCATTTTGACTTTTATCTTAAAAAAAAAACAGACTTTACATTAGGTCTGTGTCTGCAGAAATTCGAAACCAGTCAGTGTGAATTTCATTGGTTGAAACTATGTAGTTTTCTGACCGTTTATGACTTTTTTCAACTAATGAAATTTGCTCTGACTGATTTGTGATTTCTGCAGAAACAGACCTATTTCTATGAAATATGGGTTTCGTTCCGGTTCCGGTCCGCAAAAGAAAAACGGCTCCGTTCCGGTTTTCGGTTATCGTTTCGGTCCGGGTCCCTGCTTTCGGAGCTTCAAAAATAACAAAAGAGCGGCAAAAGTACAAACTTTGTGTGCACACAGCGTGAACCCAAACGCACCCCTCGTTTTCACTTTTCGAGTAATCCCACTTTAAGCCTAGTACTCATAACTGCGAAATTCGCATTTTTTTTTGACATTGCGTTGACAATTTGACGTTTTATTCGTGTATCAAACGTCAAATTGTCGAAGCAATGTCAAAAAGGAGCGAATTTCGCAGTTATGAGTACTAGGTATTAGAGTGGGTCCAGCTTGTTCGACTAGTGATTAGTGAAGTGAACGTAAATAAGTGCTTATTCTATTCACGCTAAAACGCCACAACCAGGTGGTCCGAGTTACCCGAGTCAGAGCACTTTTGAGTGCACGGGGTGAGTTCATAAGATTGTGATGTCAAAGTTTTACAAACAACTCAATTATTTCTTTTCCAATCTATGCACTCTGCAAAACAATAGTTAAAATTACTAGTTAGAGCCAATGAACTATAGCTAAAAACTGGAATGCGCACACATTACCATATCTGCCAAAAAAATGAAGCCATGAACAGTGTTGCCAGGTCACATTTCGTTTTTTCAGTAGACTACCAGTCTAAATATCAGTAGAAATCAGTAGACAGATAAGTTGCCTAGTTAAAGGGGTAAACCATTAGGGTATAGGTACTCAATTCATTGTTTTAGTTACATTTTTTCAAATCATTGAATCTTTAGACTGTGAAAACTTGCATTGGAAAATCAAACATCAATACTACCTATGGGAAATAGTTTATCAAGAGACATGAAATATTCCTATTTAATTTTTTTTTAAATGCAGTACCTATGTAGTATGTAGATAGTTAGTAGTCTAGTCTCTGATAAAAACAGGTGAAACAGGCTGCAGTTAGTTGTACAGCATAACGCTATATGACCAATTGACTAACCAACAACGACGCATGCCATTAGGCAACTAAACAAGACACGATACAAGCACGCACGAACCCCGGGGATTACCCATTTCCCAGTAGGCTGAGTGCTGCGCCTGCACTGCGAGCGTTTAAATGTTCCAATACATACCACACCGGACTGATCGGAGTAATCGGGCGTCATTAGAGTACACTCCTAAAAGTTCTAGCCAACAGGTCAAGCATGAAATTATTGCTGTGACATTCTCATACATGATTATAATTTAAAAAATATCATAAAAAGCGGTGAAATAATGACAGCTGCTTTTATCAGTAGAATTCACATTGATATCAGTATATCAGTAGACCAATGGCCAAATCAGTAGATCTACTGATAAATCAGTAGACCTGGCAACACTGGCCATGAAAGACAGATGCCACAAGGGGGAATGCAAGGGATGGGGGAAAGTTTACGATTCTTGGGGGAATGTTGTTTTTTTCTGATGCTCGCTGACATATGACGTTTTCGAAAGTTTTGTCATATTTCCCTTCACAGGTTTCATCAATAGACCTAACTATTTTTACCTGGTATGCGCGCGCAACACGAGGCAATGTCTTTTTATTGGCTAGCTAATGCAAGTGTGAGGTGATTGTTTTGCACGCTGGGCATCTCTTTTTCCTTGTTCATTGCACGTGATCTGACAAGAATAAATCTAAAGTTGATATTCAATTTGACAAGTGTTATTCAAAAGTTGTTTGACATTTTCATTGACAAATACGTTGCACAACACGCGGTTTTTCTCCTTTTCTTTTTATCCTGTGCAAATAAGAAGGACGGATTGCTATACGTATGTCTAACATAATTTGGTACGTTTTGCCTCGTCTTGCGCAATGAGCGTTCTGTGTCTTTTTTTATTTAATGAAGTTTTCGTATTATTACCTCTTTGTCTGGTAAAATAGATAGGTCTATTGGAATCAGTGTTGCCAGAGGTGGTACAATTGTACCAAACTTGGTACCATTCGCTTTGAAAAAGTACGCTGGTACAACGTTGGCATATTTGGTACAATTTTCATTTTTTTTTTTCCAAATTCTCAAAGAATCTTAGCCTACTGCCTATAGTCTAATGTCGATGTTCTAATTAATTTGTATTTCTGTATCTAAACCCGCGCTGTGTGGGCGGGCCTTTAGTTCCGGACTAAGGGATTTCGGCCCTACCAGTTTAACGCTACTTTTGTTATCAAATTTTTAAATATTTAACTGGGTACTACTTTATCAAATATTTGCTTTGTTTGGTTTTCATCGTAATTTGATAATTTTGCGTTTTAGATGGCATCCTACTTTATCTCACCCATTTGAGGTTTTTTTGCAAACGTATACTACTTTATTGTTGTCTTTGTCTTACTCACATATAATTAACAATTAAACATTTTTTCATTAAAATTAAACTAAAAACAAGTTTCCAAGACCTTATTTCGGAAATTTATTATTTTATAATCGTTATTATTTAATTACCTATTTAACAGGTTTTAATCACCGGCGTATACAAGGGGGGGGGGTAATGGGGGTAATTACCCCCCCCCCAAGATCGTTACGATGGACGAAAAAAATGTACCCTACACCTTACAAATAAATCTATTTTTTATATTTTTACTTTTCAGCAACTGGCCCTAACTTGTTTTCTAGTTTGCACAGTGTCCGCACTGCCCGCATGCCATTTATAGCGAATTCTATTCAAAGGGATAGTGCACACTGAGTGTATTCATATCTTTCTCTACTAGCTTGCATAAGAAAGAGATAAATAATTTTTTTGTATTAATCCTACCAATAGAATTCGCTATGCCTATAATTGAAAAGTTTTAGGCGATTCTCATAGCGAATTCCATTGGTAAAATCAGTGCGAAAGAGTGTATTTTTATCTCTTTCTTATATAAGCTGGTAGAATAAGATACGAATACACTCGGTGCGCACTAACCTTTATTCCAATGGAATTCGCTATCAGAGTTCGGTTTCGTTATTTGTTGGTAGTACAGAATATATTTACCTAACAAGTGTGAAAAATGAATTTTTCCGCACGAGTCTGTCGTTCACCCAAAGACGCGTAGCGGAATTCGGTGAAGCAGCCAAGTTCGGAAGACAGATTTTCCGCATGTGTTAGGTACAATAGTTTTTTTACAGACGTGCGGAAATAAGTAGGTACATATACCCAAGGATGATACACACTACTACTACTACAAGATGGCTTATCCTCATAAGGCCTGTTTGTAAAAAATCCCCCTCTACCCCCCTTAGCTAAACAACCAGTTGTGACGTAAGCAGCATGGCGTTTCTCGCCTTGACGTAGGCTGTTTAAACAGCTGAAAACTTAGTTATGACGTCGACAATGGTTGAAAACAGTTGAAAACCAATATGGCGGCGATTACCAAAAACGAGAAAGAGTTGTTTCAGAATATTAATTAATGTAGTGAAACCAAGTTTTGCATAAAGGAAAAGCCCGCGGAATCATAACCTGTGGTACAAACACCCTACGTGAAGACGAGAAACGACACGCTGTCTACGTCATCACTGATATTTTGGCATGGCAGCGGCGGCTTCAGATTGAACTACACAGGCCTTATGAGGATAGACTATCCTATAGTAGTAGTGTGTAGTATCCTTGCAGGAAACTGAGGTACAAAAGTAACCTCTTTTCCAGGAACCAGTAATTAGTAATTCGATTACTTTCGGAACGCTTTTCTGTAGTTGCCACATTTTTACTTTTCGTTGAGGAATTATGATCAGGAGCTTTAACCCTCAGATTTGACTGGATTTAACGATTTAACCCATTTCCCAAAATCACAAAAAAAAAAACTTGCTTCTTGATGTTACAGATTGGGTACCAAGATCGTGTGTCAAAATCGTGTAATTGTGGAAAATGAAAGCGTGTAAAAACGTGTAATTTTACCAGCATATCGTGCAATTTCACAAATTCAGATTGACAACATAGTCTATTATCATAGGGCTCAAAAACGGCCTCTCGCTTCGATCTCGTGCTAAGTTTGAAAATGCTTTATTTTATGAAAATATGGGACTACTAGATTACCAAATGGTATGTTGGCATTTCTGTAAATTACTTTTTTCCGAAAAACAGCCACTTCAAGATCGCGGATGGAGCAATTTTTGAAAAATTCGTATCTCCATTATTATTTGATCAATTTCCTATTTCAAAAAAAGAAATTACTTGGAAAAGTCTATAATTTAATAAAAAAATTGTTTCAACCACAAATATTCAATAATAAAAGAAAGTTTCCCCAAAAACTGAAAGAAAAAGATATTTTTTTTTAATTATTTTTTTTTTTAACCATTTTTCTTTCTATAATTATAAATTATACAGAAAAAAGTTTCAGATAAAAAATGCTCAGAATTTTCTGCTGAATCGAATGATATATAATTTATTAGAGGTTGTTCAGTAGATACTACTGAAAAGTGAGTTACCAAGTCAGAAACCGAGGGTTGGTTTTTAAAAAATTACTTTATTAACAATCCGAAAATTTATACTAGCGAAAGCACGTTACAATAAATGTTACAATTATAATTAATTTCAACTGACTGACTATCCTAGGAAAAAACATACTTCTATAATAAACTGAAACGTAGAATAAGCCTTTTAAACTCAGCAAATAGACGCGATATAACTCCTTCCTTCTTCGGCTTTTACATATTTCATGTAAACCAAGAAGATACAGGCAATAACGATGAAGACATATATAAGGATTGTCCCAAGGCTGGGTATTCTATTGATTTCGGTGAAACTCAGTTGTGGGCATATGTCCATTTCTTCTTTGCTTAATTGATGAAGGTCGTCTAATTTCAAATATTTTAGATGTCGACCTAAATTGAGGGTCGGCATCATGGTATCAGCGGTGGCCACTTGGCAACCAATTGGTATTTGAAGCATAAATGTTCCCATGATGATTTGTACTTCCTTGAATTGGATGGCTTCTTTGACGGGAACGACCAATATCCATTGATTGGAATCGTCCAATCGATTGATGATAATTTGCGGGACTTTAACTTCGGTTTGTTCTCAGGTGGAGGTATTTTTGTCAGATTCTACTAGTTTAATTCCGCATGGGCTGTCTCTTTGGATTTCATGAATGTCTTCTCCTTCTCTTCCACAATTATTGAATTTCTGAATAATTTCTAGACATTCTTGACCATAGTATGTGTAGTGCCCGAATACATTATTGGTATATGTATTAGGTATGTTATTATATTATTAAAGACAAAATATTCCAGTTAAATTTTTTCAAAAAGTGAAGTATTTTCCAAAGTGACCGCTAGGAGCATTTGTTCAGAACTTAAATGCTGTTGTAGTTTGTTTAATTCATGATAAAAGTCTTCAGTTTTTATTATACCTGGATGCATGATGACTTTCAATTTTGAAAAAGTTAAGAAATTTTCTATATCTTGTAAAATAGAGTCGATTATCTCATAGATATTGACTAGGTACCTATTTGATTTACTATGTCTGTCTTCTGTACCATAATATGTGCAATTTGGTTAATTTTTTATTCTAGAAGTTGTTCGTTGATATTTGTTTAATAGTTTGGTTAAATTTTTCTATTACTTTTAAAGAAAGCAAGTATTGTTTCAGAAGATTTTCTTGTAAACTATTTTTATTTATTTTTATTGTTTTGTAATTCCCTAATGTGCTTGTGACGTTCTCCGTCAGATGCGTCCAGGTTTCCAGTTAGAGATTCGAATATTGAGCCAAGTCATTAATTTATTCCTTTTGTTTCTCTGTGGCTGAGGAATATTTTTATTTTTGTATCAATTTTATTTTGTCTTCTTTTAAAAGAAATATATGTAATTGCTAATGTCTTCAGAATTGTCTTGATGTCCATTGAGAATGTTTGTGATATTATTAGATTTTATGTGAAGTTTATTTATTTCCCGTTATTGGGTTATAATAATGTATCAGGGTATAGGTTATTGATTGCAAATATGTTATTAACAATAAATTGCTAAATGTCATTTTGGAACACTTGTTATTATACACCGTTGGCACAGCATATATCTATAATTATAGAAAGAAAGATGGTTAAAAAATAATAATTAAAAAAAAAGTACCTAGGTATATGTTTTTTTTTAAATTTTTGTGGAAATTTCCCTTGTGCAAATTACACTGGAAATTTTGCATACAAATTGTCAAAATTAATAAGTGGAAATTTTTGGAAATATCCCGGGGAAAATTTCCAGAATTGTCATTTTTGACATTGATGCCCGCTTTTCCATTTAAAACGTATTGATGTCAAAAATCTGTCAAAGTGTATATTTTTGACAAACGCAATTTAAATGGGAAAGATCAATAACAATCAACAACTATAAAAAAATTCGACACAACGTAGTAAATAAACTTCAAACTCGGGAAATTTCCTATCAAAATATAACACGTGCATAAAATATTTCCTAAGGGAAATTTTGAAAAATTTCGTCTTCAGCCAATTTTTTTGAACAAAACCATTCGTGCATAGCGCCAAAGAAAAAATCCCTCACCCTTCGGGTTCGGGATTATTTCAGGAGCTATGCACTCATGATTTTGTTAAAAAATTGGCTTCAGACAAAATTTTCAAAAATTTCCGGAAATATTTCATGCACTAGTTATATTACTACTGGAAATTTTCTTTTAATATTAAATATTTGTAGTAAAAACATTTTTTCTATTAAAATATAGACTTTTCCAAGTAATCCATTTTTTTGAAATAAGAAATTGATCAATTGATAACGGAGATACGAATTTTTTGAAAAATTGTTCCATCCGTGATTTTGAAGTAGCTGTTTTTCGGAAAAAAAATTATTTACAAAAATGCCAACATACCATTTGGTAATCAAGTAGTCCCATATTTTCATAAAATAATGCATTTTTAAACTTAGCACGAGATCGAAGCGAGCGGACCCTATGATAATGGATTAACACTGCCTTGCATATACCTACATAATTTGTAGTCATTTATTGATTTTTTTTTGACAGCCATGCGGAAAAGATTTAGATTTTTCCACACTGATATCCGTGCGGAAAAAAATTCGCCGCACCGTGCGAGAAAATCGATTTTCCGCACTCTTTAATTGTCCTCACTCTCGTAGAAAAAAATTTTTTTGAAGGCTCAAAGTAAACGTTTTTGGGCGTGCCACCTGGGAAAAAATGGGCTGATTACCCCCCCCAGACGCATGGGCTGGATACGCCGGTGGTTTTAATTAAATTAAACCATTTAAAATGTCATTAATGTCATGCGGCAACGTCGCTTTTAGGGCGGGTATTATAAAACTGCTTTGACAGTTAACTTGAAGTTAACTTTTTGAATTACGTGTATTTTCAGAAGTTAACTTTAAGTTAACTCTCAAAGTAGTTTTATAATACCCGCCCTTAGTCGGCCATTTTGACGTGTTTACGTTTTTATCCAGTTTTTCCTTGGATTTTCCATTTTTCTAGGGCCCAGGGCGTTTTAAGTCGGAAAAACTGGTTTAAACTACGAGGCTTTGAATTTTTTTCATTTTGTGCGAAAAATTTCCAGTTTTCAATAGGGTAAGTGACAAAAACTCAAGTCTCATCAAGTAGGTGCTGGAATGTTCTTTTCAGAAGTTTTTCTTTGAATTTTTCGCTTTTCCAGGCCTTTCTCGGTCGGGAAAACCGATTTAAAGTACGAGTTTTCTTCATTTTCTAGCACAAATTTATATTTTTAAATACAATAATTAGGAAAATCCCATTAAAATGCTTTTTTTTGGTAGTTTTGATGTGGCAACATCGTTTGTAGCCAACTTCAATCATGTAAACTTTGTAATAAATGTCATTTGTCAATTTGGAAAGTCGGCCATTTTGAGTGTTTTTATCCATATTTTTTCTCGAAATTTCCACTTTTCCAGGCCGTTTTAAAACGGAAAAAATGGTTTATGTGTCACTCATTTGTAAAACGTCATTTATCAAGTCAAAACATAAACAACGAAAATTGATTTTTACCAGTTACTGGCTCTACGGACTTGTAAAATTGACAGCTAAACTGTAAAAACTTTTTACAAGTCAGTAGGGTCAGTAGAATTATTTATTAAAATTGTATTACCTATGTATTAATTTTTTATTTATTGTTTACAAATGAGTAACAAATAATAAATTATTGTACATCATACGCCAGGTATCAGTTTTTACTGGCTCTTGAAGGTGACAAGCTCGCCTAACGGCTCGCTAGTCATTTCCTTCATTCACCAGTAAAAACTGTTTTACCTGGCTAATAATGTAAAATACTATTAAACTACGAGGTTTTGAGTTTCCTTTATTTTGTGCTAAAAATTTTCAGTTTTCCGATGAGGTAAGTGACAAAAACTCAAGTTTTATCAAGTAGGCTTTGGAATGTCCTTTTCAAAGGATTTTCTTTGGATTTTCTGCTTTTCCAGGGCTTTTTGGATCGGGAAAACCGATTTTAAGTACGAGGCTTTGAGTTTTCTTCATTTTGTGCCAAAAATTTTCAGTTTTCCAATGGCCGGGGTAAGTGACAAAAACTCAAGTTTCATCAAGTAGGCTTTAGAATGTCCTTTTCAGAGGTTTTTCTTTGGATTTTTCGCTTTTCCAGGCCGGGAAAACCGATTTAAAGTACGAGGCTTTGAATTTTCTTCATTTTCAGCTAGAAATTTTCAGTTTTAAATTAAAATTAAGAACGCAAAAAAAAAAATCCGTAAAAAACAACTTTTTAGGGAATTTATATATTTTTTTTTTCAGGTGGCAACACTGCTTTGTAGTCAACTTTACTCGGGTTCCAATTCGGTAGGTCATGGAATGTTATTTCTAAAGTGACATTTGAGAAAAAAGTATGGTCACCCCCACCCTATTATAGGCTGGCACATTTTTACTGAATCTGGTACAATTTGTCTTTAATTTTGATACAAAAAATTTTTGCTCTCTGACAACACTGATTGGAATACGTGTTGGAAGCAATTTTCGCCATTTAACATAATGAGTGCGACAAAAACAGGTATCCCCTCCGCAGCAGCCGTACTAGGCTTCAAGTTCGTCCTTATGTGTTAGCATTCCAGTTTTTGGTTATAGTTCATTAGCCAATTTTAAGCGAATAACCACAATTTTATGGTTTAAACCGCGGTTACGCTTCGGTTCAAGATGACAGATCACTTGATGACGTCATTCCATTGTATTCGCTTAAACGCGTTTGGTATTAACCGCGGTTACCCCTGTTGTGTTATTGCTATTTGTTTATATTTTGAATTTTGATTTCATGCTGGCCGGAAAATGGAAAAGAGGAGAGAACTTGCCTTTTTATTTGGAGATGTGTTTTTTTTGAAGACAGTGCGGAAATAATTGATTTGTTAGGAAATCTACCAATTTGTTGCATTTTTTTTAAAAAAAGGAAAGACATGAGACCGAAAATCAATTGAAACAGATAATACTTGCTATTAAGAGTAAATTAGCTGTTTCTAAAAGCCGGTATTTCAAATGTAATCTTAAAATCAAGATTTACCAAAGGTATCCTTAACGTTAAGGTGAACTTGAAATCAGTTCATTCAGGTAACTTAAGATAAGCTTAAGATCCACCTTGAATTAGGGGAACTTTTATACTTTGATATACGGTGAAACTTGTATTAAAGATGACTTAACGTTATTTTAACGTGACATTGAAATACCGACCCAGTCTCCAGTCTCCAACCTGTATTTGGTAATCCGCACCTTCATGACTTTTGCTTAGGGAAGTATCCATAATTTCTGGCCCTTTTTTCACTTCATAATACCAAACAAACTGCTAAAAAAAATAAACAACTTGCTAAAAACCCGCCAAAAATGCAATGTCAACAATTCAAATAATAACCGCAAAATAAAAACCACTCCCGAGCTGGGTTAAAACCGCAATTTTGCGGTGATAAGTATGACATTTTACAGCTGATCCATGACGTCACGGAGTCATAACCAAAAGAAAAACCAAAGTCGCATAAATGTTGTGGTAAATACCAATCCGAAATGGTAAAAACCAATCTCGTTTGGTTATTCGCTTAAAATTGGCTATTGGGTTAAAACCGCAATTTTGCGGTGATAAGTATGACATTTTACAGCTGATCCATGACGTCACTGAGTCATAACCAAAAGAAAAACCAAAATCGCATAAATGTTGTGGTAAATACCAATCCGAAATGGTAAAAACCAATCTCGTTTGGTTATTCGCTTAAAATTGGCTATTGGTTAGAGCTCACTTGAACCAAACCCATATTTGATATTTGGAAAATAGGTAAGCAATTAAAAAAGAAAACACCTAAAGCCGGCTGTCTTATGATAATTATGAAAATAAAAGAAGACTAGGGTTATGTTTATATCCGTTCCGCTGTTCCGCTTGCCTCTTTTCAAGGGATTGTAGATTTTGTGTGCATGCTGTTAATTTGCCATTTTACGAATTTACTTTTTAAAAAAATTAAAATTTAATTGAAGCAAATTTGATCGCAATGTCTGAAGATTGGGACGCGGCATGGAGCCAACCAGCACCTCAACCCCAACAATATCAGGAACGCCATCAAAAAGGTAAAAAAATTGATTCAAAAGAATTAAATATAATTATTTTATTTGATTGGTTTATTTCAGATTGGAATTCCGGATCTGGGTCTGTCACGTTTACCAATTCGAATCGTGGCAGAGGTCGTGGTAGAGGCGGTAGAGGTCGAACAAATAATCAAAGAGCAGAAGAAGGTGGTGGTGGTTGGGGGGCAGATACCAAAGTGGCTTCCTGGTCAGGAGAAACCTCAAGACAACCAGACTCAGGTTGGCAATCGTGGGAACCAGAAGAATCGCGCGAGAATAAACCCAGAAGACAAAATACCAGCAGTGACGGTTGGAATGATTTTTCCACTAATAATTCTTGGGGAGAACAAAAGAGTTTTGGGGATGGTGGAGGCAGAGGAGGTCGTGGACGTGGTCGAGGACGTGGAGGCTCCCAAAATAACCAAAGACAATACGATGATAAATGTGAAGTTCTAATGATTCCTACTAGAAAGGTAGGTAAAGTTATTGGTAAAGGAGGCAGCCAAATTGAAGAGCTTCAAACCAGATCTTCCGCTCGTATCAAAGTCAGCAGAGACAATGATGGTGATGAAACTGCCATCAACATTTATGGAGATGATTCAACTATTAGTAGAGCTAAAGAGCTCATAAACGATTTGATAGAGGATAGACCCAGGGAGCGACAACGAGAGCAGCAGCCAAGAGATTCAGAATATAATGAGCCTGCACCAGAGGAACCAAAAAAACCCTACAACTGGTTTGCATGTTTGGCTGAATGCGATGCAAAAGTGGCAGCTGACTGGGCCAAATTGCCCCCAATTATCAAAAATTTCTATGAAGAACATCCAGAGGTAACTGCTCTAACTGAAGAGCAAGTAGCTCAGTTTAGAGAGGAAAATAACAATATCGTGGTGGACCGTACATTCCAAAAAGAAGATAGTAAACCCATTCCCAAGCCAGTTCTAAGATTTGAACACGCTTTTCAAAATTATCCAGGCATTTTAGATGAGATTTATAAAGCTGGATTTGAAAGGCCTTCACCCATACAATGTCAAGCTTGGCCAGTATTATTGTCTGGAGAAGATCTTATTGGAATTGCCCAAACTGGAACAGGTGAATATTAAGACCTCAAGTTCATAGAAACTTCAATGATTTTTGATTGTTTGTTTTCACTAGATCTATTGTCAATGAAACAACGAATAAAGCATAGTTTGATTTGATTTTAACTTTAAAATAGACTTTATGCATTTCACAAAACTCTTGAGATCATGGAGAGCTTTATACTCATCTGGCAAATGATCGTAAGTCTTTAAACTTTCATAAATTGAAGTTTTTGATATGACTGCTGCTTGGTATAGGTATAGGTAATGGTAGATTATGTTCATTACATGTGTAGTGGATGTTGAGATTTATAGAATTTTTATATTTTTTGTGCACCAAACCTTCTAACAACATAAATTACTGATTTTTATACCATTGCATTCAAAAAAGTATTATTATGTCACAAAATTTTTTTTTTTTTTTTCAAGGCAAAACTTTAGCATTTCTTCTACCAGCCCTGATTCACATTGACGGTCAAACAGTTCCTAGAGAAGAACGAGGTGGTCCGGCAGTTCTTATAATGGCGCCCACTAGAGAATTGGCCCTACAGATTGACAAAGAAGTGAAAAAATACGAATACAAAGGCATCACTAGTTGTTGCGTTTACGGAGGTGGCGACCGAAAAAGCCAAATCAATGTGGTGGCTTCCGGCGTGGACATAGTTATCGCTACACCTGGCAGGATGAATGACTTAGAGGAAGCTGGTAAGTTAGAATTTTCCTATACATTTCAAACATTATTGTATTTTTCTACTTTTTTCAATTTTTATTATAAATAGATCAAATTCTGTACAGTGTACCCTAATATCCACTATGGCTAAATTTAAAAGAAACACAAAAAGTTGGACTCATACTAAGTTACACATAAAATATAAAAAATATAAAATAACAATCACAAAGATTAAAAAAAAACTATGGTTCATTTTTTCCCTAGATAGATTTTGACATTGAAAACTTTGAAACATAAACAATACCGCTTGGCTCTGATTGGTCGCAAAATGAGGTGTCCCTGCAGGTTGAAAATGCACGTCATACAAATGGCATTTTGCGACCAATAGGCGGCATTAGCGGCATTGTTTATGTTTCAAAGTTGACAATGTCAAAATCTATCTTGGGAAAAAATAAACTGTAGTAAAACTCTGGTATTAAAAAAAAGATCTTATGGCAAAGGTATTTGTATTAAATAAATCAATATCAGATTCCCTTACCAATCTGTTACATTCGCGAAGCATATTGTTTAGCGGTGAACAGCTTAAAACATTATCTTGGAATAGCTTCTGTTCAATATTTCTAAGCACAATTTTAGGAACATGGAATGCAATTCTATTAATTGAATAACTGTGCCTGTACTTGACGCTATTTAAAATATGACATACACAGAAAACAAACTGCATACTTCTCCTGATTCTGGTACTCAATTTTTTAATATTAAATTTACTTAGCATTGAACTGAGTTCATATAAAGATATACACTAGATATCTTTAAAAAAAATGTTTGGACTTTTTCAATCATATCACAGTTAGCTTCTGCCTGCGGTGCCCATATTACACAAGCATAGGTAAGTACTCTAAATGGGGTCTGACCAATGTATTGTATAGTCTAATGACAGTTTTAACTGGAAATACTTAGAGTTTTTAATAATAAAGCCCAGAACCTTGAATACCTCATTCGCAATAATCTGATAGTGAGTGTTAAACTTAAGCATCAATTGCAGATGTACTCCCAGGTCTTTACATTTAAACTTTCTGTCAAGACGTCAATTATTTATGATATAGTTAAAATTTATATGATTTATCCTTCTCGTAAAAGTTATAACGTGACATTTACTTACATTTAAGAACATCTTGTTTTTGCTAAACCACTTTGAAACACAATTTAGGTCTTCTTGTAAAGCTACAGTCTTCAGTACTCTTAATTATTTTAAACATTTTGAAGTCATCTGCAAACAACAGACTATCAGAGAAATTAATACAATCCGGCAAATCGTTTATAAAAATGGCAAGCAGAAGAGGTCCCAGGTTACTTTCCTAAGGAACGCCTGCTGAAGCCATAAAACTCCTCAAGAGATTTTTTCCAACTTTCACTTGTTGGTTTCTATATAATAGGTAAGAGAACATAAGTTTACAGGCACTCTCAGAGAAACCAAATGCATTCAATTGGTTGACCAGAAGTCTATGATCCACCTTATCAAACGCCTTCGCGCAGTCCGTCATTATCACATTTAACTGGTTTTTATTAAGAATTGCTTGAGCAGTTGTGTTTGTGAGGTTGGTTACTGTGGACCTGTCAGGCAAAAAGCCATGCTGCTCCTTAGCAAAATAATTTTTAAATGTTTCAAGCGAGGGGTGTCTTACGGTCTTAAATTTTGTACACCTATTTCCTTTTACCGGTGTGAAGTTAGCACGCCACTCGAGCACGCCAAAAAGGAAAGTTAGCACGCCGCTCAGGCATGCCAAATTGTGAAGTTGGCACGCCATTCTAGCACGCCGCAGTTTTTTTTTCTTTCATTCACGTAATATGGTGTTTCTCGTCCATATTTGGAGGGATGCTTGTTCAAGGGATGCCTCATCATCCCTCAAACAGAAAATTCCTTGCCAGCCGTCGAACTTAGAAAAATCGTCATAAATATGAAATTTTCAATATTTTTTCATACAAGGGATGATTTTGCTAAGTTTGATGGCTGGCAAGGAATTTTCCTTTTGAGGGATGGTAAAGCATCCCTTGAACAAGCATCCTTCTAAATTTGAACGTGAAACACTATCAATAGGTGTCTGAAGAAAAAATGAGAAAATATAAAATTTTCAATATTTTTACATACAAGGGATGATTTTCCTAGGTTTGACGGCTGGCAAGGAATTTTCCTTTTGAGGGATGATAAAGCATCCCTTAAACAAGCATCCTTCTAAATTTGAACGTGAAACACTATCTATAGGTGTCTGAAGAAAAAATGAGAAAATATAAAATTTTCAATATTTTTACATACAAGGGATGATTTTCCTAGGTTTGACGGCTGGCAAGGAATTTTCCTTTTGAGGGATGATAAAGCATCCCTTGAACAAGCATCCTTCCAAATTTTAACGTGAAACACCGTCTAGGTGTCTGAAGAAAAAATAAGAAAATATAAAATTTTCAAAATTTTCACATACAAGGGATGATTTTCCTAAGCTTGACGGCTGGCAAGGAATTTTCCTTTTGAGGGATGATAAAGAATCCCTTGAACAAGCATCCTTCTAAATTTGAACGTGAAACACTATCTATAGGTGTCTGAAGAAAAAATGAAAAAATATGAAATTTTCAATATTTTTTCATACGAGGGATGATTTTCTTAAGTTTGATGGCTGGCAAGGAATTTTTCTTTTGAGGGATGATAAAGCATCCCTTGAACAAGCATCCTTCTAAATTTGAAGGTGAAACACTATCTATAGGTGTCTGAAGAAAAAATGAGAAAATATGAAATTTTCAATATTTTTTCATATGAGGGATGATTTTCCTAAGTTTGACGGCTGGCAAGGAATTTTCCTTTTGAGAGATGATAAAGCATTCCTCGAACAAGTATCCTTCCAAATTTGAACGTGAAACACCGTCTAGGTGTCTGAAGAAAAAATAAGAAAATATAAAATTTTCAAAATTTTCACATACAAGGTATGATTTTCCTAAGCTTGACGGCTGGCAAGGAATTTTCCTTTTGAGGGATGATAAAGCATCCCTCGAACAAGTATACTTCCAAATTTGAACATGAAACACCGTCTAGGTGTCTGAAGAAAAAATAAGAAAAAATAAAATTTTCAATATTTTCACATACAAGGGATGATTTTCCTAAGTTTGACGGCTGGCAAGGAATTTTGCTTTTGAGGGATGATCAAGCATCCTTTGAACAAGCATCCTTCCAAATCTGAACGTGAAACACCATTTTTCTAACTTCCCACTTTGGCGTGCTCGAGCAGCGTGCTAACTTCACATCAGTGTGTTCCACTAGGTTCACATCTAGGACCTAGGACCCCTACTCTTCAATATTTATGTAAATGATATTGCACCCTGTTTCTGTTCTCATATTATTTGTTATTTGCGGATGATCTAAAATTCTATATAGTAATTCAAAGTCTGCAAAAAAAGTCAGGACGACTGCAACAAACTCCAATTGGATTTGGACCACCTAACTCAATAGTGCGATATCAATGCAAGGGAACTTCTTCTATAATATTAGGGAAACTCCCTTATTGTTAGTCCCCCAAATGAAAGAGCTGGGGGTGTTACTTGATAGCCACCTGTCTTACACACTGCATTCACCATTAATTGTGTCCAAAGCACTACAAATGCTGGGCTTTATTAAACGGTGCACTAAATATTCAATCCTTCAAACTACAAAAATTATTTAAAAGTAATTTAAAAGACTGTCTGTGAAGTTGAGATGTTTTCGAGGGTAGAGTTCACTAAAAATAGTCTAGTCATTTCGAATACTCCTGCTTCCTGTGTCTTTTTATGTCTTGTTATTATTGTTATAGCTATTTCACTGTTTGTTGCCACATTATATACATATATCTTTTTATTTTTATAATTATTGTAATATTTAAGTTAGGTAACTCAATTCAAATTATTTTGTAATTATCTTTTTTTTTTTATCGGACAGTGGCCCGTTGATAAATAAATAAATAATACATTTATTTTAGGTCACCTCAATGTCAGATCAGTCACCTATGTAGTTCTGGACGAAGCAGATCGTATGTTGGACATGGGTTTCGAGCCTCAAATCAGAAAAGTCATGTACTCGCTGAGACCTTCGAAACAATGCATAATGACTAGTGCTACATGGCCTCCAGGTAAAAATTTGAACCTTATTGATAATTGTTGAATTCTATTTTTCGAAATTGTAGGTGTAAGAAGATTGGCAGACTCCTACATGACCGATCCTGTTCAAGTTTACGTCGGGTCATTGGATTTGGCTGCAACTCACACTGTCTCACAGGTCATACAGCTTATGGACGAAAAAGAAAAAGAGGCATGCGTAAGGAATTTTCTGCTTGATTTTGTTTATTATTTATTATCTGTAACCAATTATTTAGTTTATGGATTTCGCAAGGAATCTAGGACCAGATGAAAAAATAATCGTTTTTTGTGGCACCAAAGCCAAAGCCGACTATCTTTCTGTGGAATGTGCCTTGGCGAACATCATGTGTGCTTCGTTGCACGGTAACAGGGACCAAAGTGATAGAGAACAGGCCGTGGAAGACATAAAGAGCGGATACGTGAAAATTTTGATTGCTACCGATGTCGCTTCTAGGGGTTTGGATATTGATGATGTTACGTAAGTGCAAAATTGAATTTAATCATTCAATAATATATTTTTATTGCTTTTCTTTACTCTATATATATATTTATTTAATTATTTTTTCCTTCCTTTATGGATATTGCCAATATTCTTAGTTCATTAGAGACAGAAACTGACTTAGAACAGCTACAAACAAACGTTGAAGTAGATGAGTTTAAGGCCAAAATTAAATCTAACAAAAAAATTCTGGACATTTTACATTTTAATGTGTGTAGTGCTCCCAGACACTTTGATGAAATTTTAATATTTTTGCAAGCTTGTGACCTCAAAAACACTGACATTTTAATATTGGGAGAAACCAGAAACAATTTTTTACCAAGCCAATTTAACATTCCTGGTTTTTTTACTTCTTTTAATAATAGTACCCTCAACCAAAATGACGGACTTCTTATTTTCATTAACAACAGGATAAATTTTGATATTAAACACATAGTAACACCACTTTCTCATGTCACTTTAACAGAAATTCGATTTAAACTTGGTATTGTGACTTATAATGTTGTGACTACATACAGATCACCCTCTACTTCAGAACAAAACTTTGTGCTGGATCTTGAAAATTTCTTAGAAAACATTCCAAGTGAGGATTTGACAATTTTTTTAGGTGATGTAAACATAAATATTTTGAATCGCGATCTAAATGTTGCAAACTGCTACTTGACCACTCTTATGTCACAAGGTTTCAAATCATATATAAATACGTTCACTAGAGTCACAGCAGACACCAAGTCTTGCATAGACCACATCTTTGTTAGACAAAATCTGAACAATCTCAACCTGAACTTATATTTGTCTGTGATAAACCATAATGTAACAGATCATTACCCTATATATTTACAAATATGTAATAAAAACCAAAACAAACCACTAGCCATAGAAAAAACTATCACCTATTTTGACAATATAAAATTTAAAAACTTAATCAGTCAAGAGTCATGGATTCCTGTCCTGGCAGAAAATGAGGCAGACTCAGCATGGAACATATTACACAACATTTTCACCGAAATGTATGATAAATGTAGAACAACAAAGGATATAAAAGTACAGAATCATGTAAAAATTAAACCTTGGATTACAAATGCAATTATAACCTCTATAAAACACCGTGATCACCTAAAGAAAAAAATAATAAGGAATGGAAATGATGAGGAACTTATTCAGAGATACAAAACATATAGAAATAATTTAAAGAAAATTATAAATGAAGCCAAAGCCAGGTATTACCGTGAAATAGTAAATGACAACAAAAATGATATGAAAAGAATATATAATATAATAAATGAAGCAACAAACTCAAACACAAATAGAAACAGTGAAATTAACATCCTAGACAATAACAATAAACAATTTGAAAACACAAAACAGATGGCGAACTTCTGTAATGAGTATTTTGTCCAGATTGGAAAACAAATGGCAACCAAAATACAATCGCCTACCAATTACAGAGATTCCAACAACCCTTGTGTCTCTCGAAGCATGTTTCTTAGGCCAGTATGTATTAACAAACTCATTTTGCATATAGCATCACTTAAAAACAACAGTTCTCCCGGATATGACAACGTTGGTGCAAAACTAATAAAAGATCATCACTTGCATGTTATTGTTCCTCTCGTGCATATCATAAACTTAATCTTTCTGCAAGGAAATGTTCCAAATGACTTGAAGAGATCAATAGTAGTTCCAATTTACAAAGCCGGCAACAAGAGTGAAATTAGCAATTTTCGACCAATAAGTCTAATAACGATCTTCGCAAAAGTATTTGAAAAATGTCTTAAAGATAGACTATATGACTTTTTCGTAGCGAACAAAATCTTAAATGAAGATCAATTTGGCTTTCAGAAGGGTAAGAGTACCAACCATGCCATTTCCAAACTTATTGACTGCATCAAATCTGTCTTTCTGGATCTTGCAAAGGCTTTCGACACGGTGCCTCATGGAAAACTGCTGAGAGTCCTAGAGCATTGCGGTGTCAGGGGCACGGTGTTGAGGGTCTTTCACAGCTATCTGGAGGATAGAACCCAGCAAGTTAGGATAAAGGACACTTTGAGTGAATGTCAAAGGGTCAATCTAGGCATCCCGCAGGGCACAGTCCTGGGCCCCCTGCTTTTCATCGTCTATATTAATTCGTTACTAAATGTTAACATACAGGGCCAAATTATATTGTACGCTGACCACACAGTTTTACTATTTAGTGATGATACTTGGCAAGGAGTTAAATATAAAGCAGAACTTGGTACTGGCATGATCGAAAATTGCCTGGACTTTAACGAATTGACTCTTAATATAGACAAATCAAAATATATCGCTTTCTCACTCACTGATGTTAATAGACCGACTTTCGGATTTTTGCAGTTACCGAGAACAGTACTGAAAATCAATGAAGTTAATCAGATTAAATACTTGGGTGTGATAGTTGACAGGAATTTGAAGTGGTCCAATCATGTAAATAGCTTAGCTGTTAAAACAAGAAGGCTGGTCTACAAATTTTATGAGCTCCGTAAATTTGTGAACAAAAAACTGCTTGTAACAATTTATAAAGCACTGGTTGAATCCATCTTGCAGTACGCCATAGTCGTGTGCGGTGGTCTCTATGTTAGTGCACTAGAACCTCTTAATGTTGTACAAAATTACATATTGAATGTTATATTTCAAAAAGAAAAACGTTTTCCAACTGACCAGCTGTATAATGAGAATGTACTAAGTATAAGAATGCTGTATTTCTATAACATTTGCCTTTTTTTATACAAAAACAAAAATTTACAAACAAAACTTGAGCACACATACCAAACCAGACAAATATCAAACCAAAATTTAGTAGTTCCTTTCTATCGAAAAGACGGTAACCAAAGATTTGCCACGAGCCTAGCTCCAAGACTATACAACTCCCTACCAATAAGCATAAAAAATATACCTAAGTACAATATATTTGCCAAAAAGTGTAAGCCAATTATATACACCAATTATAGGACTTATCTTGATTTATTGTGATTCTCAGCATTGTGTGTCTAGGATACCTTTCTTAGTTTCTTCTTTTTTTTTGCAGTTTTTCTTATAACTTGCAGGTTGTAGGTATAATAAAGTTTTGTATAAGTGAATGAAATTCCAGAATAATTAACCTGTAAGATTTTATTTTTTTTTGCACATACAGATTGTCTGTGATCTAGGTGCAATATATAATTTAATTTAATTGAGCATAAAGATTGAAATTTATTTATTTTATTCATTAAGTATTCATTGTTAAATCATTAAATCATTAAAAATCATTAAATCAATTGATACAATTATTTAAATTAAATTTCATAATAATAGTTTTTCTGTATATTTCTAGACATGTACTTAACTATGACTTCCCGAGAAATATTGAAGAATACGTCCACAGAGTGGGTAGAACAGGCAGAGCCGGCAAATCGGGCGAAAGTATAAGTTATTTTACCAAAAACGATTGGGGCCAAGCAGCCGAGCTTATTAAGATATTGGAAGAAGCTCAGCAGGTAAGAATTTGATAATAATCTTATTTATTTATTTATAATATGTATTTTGTTAATTTTCTTAGACTTTATTTTTCTTTATTTTTCAACCAACTTTATACAATATTGGGATAATAATATTAACCCTTAGAAGCCCACTGTTACAAATATGTAACGCTTACAGCGCTCCGGAAAACAGCTGACTGTTATTCGAATATTTGATTTAGCGGATAAATGGTGGTTCTTACGTCATCTTGAAATACGTATTACCTCTTTTGAATGTCATTTATAGATATTCCGTTGCTGTGAATTGTGACGTGAGTCGGAAAAATTTATATTCAAAAAAAGTGAGTGAAAAATGGAGCCGAATTTCAAGTAAGTATATGTAAAGTATTTGAAATTAGGGTAATTTAGCATATTATGTTTTGAGCGTAATCTAGAATGATTGTTTTTATGTCATTTTAGTCAGAAATGCAATATAGGTTATTTGGTTTTGCAGTAGCGGACTTCAAAATCGAGCGTTACATATATGTAACGCTGGGACTTTTCATTCCCTACTTTTTTTCGTATATTTTTGTACGAATAGTTTCTCATGTATGGAATGACTGCCTATTCGTTTGTAGCATTTAGTGTCTGGGTGGATGAATGATTGGTGTATTTATGAATATTTTAAAAAAAATATATTGCATACTTATGCATTATTTTTTATAGAAGAGGATTTACATTGCAAGAAGCATTAGAAATTGCATACGCTGACTACTTGGACGTGGACGCAATATACACTGAGCCACCAGATGTGAATGCTCTCACAGACGAGGAATCTGGAGATGAGGATACAGAGGGAGATATAAATCATCTACCGCCTCGGCAACTCCTTGCTGGTGCTGATTGGTTGAGAAATAATGCAAGGATTGATGGTTTATCCGATGACCCGTCGTCATCACCAGTCTCAGCTCTAAACAATCAACCCATACCTATCCAGAAAGAGGTCAAGGTTCATAATAAACCCATTCATATTCAAGAAGAGAACTTTCATGATAAATCCATTCCCATCCAAAAAGAGAAGCTTCATCATAAATGGAGTAAAGGAATGTTTGAAAATGTCAAGACGAATTTTATCACACCTGATTATTCCAAATTCGGTAATTCCACGCCGCTTGAAATGTTTGAATTATTCTGGACCAATGATATCTTTGAATATTTGCGATGCGAATCAAAAAAGTATGCTTCTTTTAAAAACAATCAGGACCCTAAAATTACCATTGATGAACTCAAATGTGCTATAGGGATATTTATTTTGAGCGGTTATAATGAAAAACCTGGTAAACGATTCTATTGGGATTCTCAAACCGATATGGGGAATCCCTTAGTGATCAATTCTATGAGAAGAAATCGTTTTTTTTGACATTATGAAATACCTGCATTGTGCTGACAATAACCAACCAGTTCCAAATGACAAAGGGTGGAAAATTCGACCGCTTATGGATAAGTTGAAAGACGTGTTTCTTACACATTTTGTACCTGAAGAAGATATCAACTACGACGAGTCTATGGTCAAATACTACGGCAGACACTCGTGTAAACAATTTTTTCTACAAACGTCACTAAAAGTGTCATTTTTAACGGACGTTGTCAGTGTCTAAAATGCCATTTTATGACACTGGTGTTAAAAGTGATTACTTTTAGCACTAGTGCTAAAAGTAATCACTTTTAGTGCGTTTCTAGAAAAAATAGTGTATGATATTCATGCTAAAAGTAATTTTATTTTGTTCAAAGGGATGGAACACTCCGCCTGCGGCGTCGTGTCCCAAACTTCCCTTTTCACAAAATAAAATGTCACTTTTAGCACTTATATCATAAATAACTATATCCGAGGAAAACCCATCCGGTTTGGGTACAAAATGTGGTATTTGAATACAAAAGACGGCTACTTGATAAACTTTGATTTATATGAAGGAAAAAATCCTAGGTCGAATGCATCCGACGAGATATTATATGGCAAATGCTCAGCACCTCTGAAGATGATGTTGAGAGAAATGCCTGAAGGAAAAAATCAATTACCATACAAACTATATGTGGATAATTTATTTACAAGTATTCATCTACTAAAAGATTTGAGAGACGAGCGATACTGGTGTACAGGTACCGTGAGGGATAATCGCATCCCAAAAGGAATAACTCTTCCCTCCAAGGCAAGTCTCCAAAAAAAATCAATCCATACTTGATAGAACAATTGGAATTTTTTTTGTCAGATGGGCAGATAATAATATTGTTACCGTGGCATCAACATGCTATGGTGTAGAACCAGTTTCTCAAGTAAGGAGATATTCGCAAAAAGAGAAAATAGTTATATCAGTTCCACGACCCAACCTTATGGGAAAGTATAACTCATCAATGGGAGGTACTGACTTGATGGACGAAAACATAGGAAGGTATCGTATTGGCATACGTTCAAAAAAATGGTGGTGGAATTTATTTACATGGCTGTTAGACGTCTCAATTCAAAATGCGTGGATTCTATACAGAAAAGCAGGACACCCTGTCACTCAACTTCAATTTAGACGTGAGATTGTAAATACTTACCTGAAAAAATATGGTAATGCGTCAAAAGGAGCAGGGAGACCATCTACTTTAGCTAGTAAACAAGGGGGTAGAATAAGTGACGACATTAGATACGACCGTAATGATCATCTCCTTATTTACATACCGGACAATAAAAGAAGAAGGTGCGCTATGGAACTCTGCAACACAAGTTGCAGGACAATGTACAAAAAATGTGACGTTGGAGTTTGTTTTGACATGTAACGTAGGCTTTCATAGCAAGTAATAATTGTTTATTCAAGATTTAGGATTTATGTTACTATTAGGTTGTGCTAAAGCCTAGCGTTACATATATGTAACACACTGTTTCCACGAGTTTGTAATAAAAATTTTGAAAAAACATGTTTTAGTGTTCTAATTAGACCCTATTTGCTTCAAAAAACCCTAAAACGGACAATAGATAGAAAAAATAATAATTTGGGCTCTTAAGGGTTAATGAAGATAAGATGTTTGAAGTGGCAACAGCACCCCATGGTACAAGAAACAAGATACAAAATACCAATAATTCGAAAATTTGTAATTGTAATTGTAAATTGTAAAAAAAGTTAACTAATTGTATTCTTATTTGGTTGAAGTAGGTAAAGAATTTTGAGAATTTCACGTCAAAATTTATTTTATTTTATAAAAAAGTTATAATTTGGAAAAAGCCGTAAATTAAATTTTCTATTATCGCTGAATAACCTGTCTATGCAAAAGTGCAAGTTTCGAGTGTAATGTACTTCTTTGCTGGTGGTGCCGGACGACAAGATCTTTTGGATCAATATCAGGTTCAGAGTTTGCTGGGTGAATTAATACATTATTTGCAACATTGATATTAATATTCCAACAATCATGCATCTCTTGTCACTTGGACCTTGTATTTGTCATGGTGTTTCCAGCATTATGAATAATTCAAACCCTTAATTATTCATTATCTTTCTAGTTTGTGCCAGAAGAAGTCGTTCAAATGGCAGAACGTTTCGAAGCGATGAAAGAACGTCGCGAGAGAACGGGCGAAACAAATAGAAGAGGAGGCTCGAGGTTTGGTGGTAGAGGAGGGGGTGGAGGAGGAAGGAGGTATTAATAAGTGGATGTTAATTTAGAGGGACATTTTTTTTGGAGGGGTTCCTAAAACGTTGCTTTGGGCAATCGTTATTAAGTTTTTGTTTACTGAATCATTTTTTTTTACTTATATTAGTTAGGTATAGAATCTCAGTATTTCATTGTTTAGTTGAGTTTTGATTTAAGTTAAAGTATTATACTTTTTATAATAATTTTATCTTCCTTATTTCGCATTTTTTAGAATAAGTTATTTTTCTGAAGAAAATATAATTGTTTATAATGTTTTCGAAATAAACATAAATATTTTTCATTTATAATTGACTTTATTTTCATTGCACTTTCTAATAATTTTAGTTAAAAAAAATTACTCCTTAAATTTGTTTAGTTCTTGTAAGGCGATTTGGCTCTCTCGCATACAGTTGATTATGTACCGAGTATCTTTTGCTTCTCTTAGGTCTTTATCTCTGTAGACGTCCACTTTTGGTCCGGGATGGTTCTTAAACAAAAATAATTAAAAAATAAATTGCCAATAGATGAAATAGCTCTTACGGCCATTTGCACCGCTATAGCTTAAGGGATATTTATTCCAAGTAGAGCTTTGAATGTGACTTTTGCAGAAACAAAAGTCACCTTCAAAGCTCCACTTAGATTAAATATCCCTTAAGTGAGAGTCGTGCAAATGGCCATTATTCAAATACATTTATACCGTAACTTAATAAGGTACCTAAGTTTAATAAAGCAGGCACTAATTACTAATTAACTTACCTTTCCAGAATTGTATTTAATCACATTCACTTCTTTGAAAAACTCATCTTGTTCTCCTTCATAGTCCCGAATGCAGCAACAAATTGCGCACAGTTTCAGAAATAGCGCCAGCGGATATGCCAAGAAGAATATTATGTTTAGGCAAAATTCTGTTTTGCTAAAAAATAAGAAAAAAATTATTAGTTCCAATTCATAATTCGAACTCGTTAAAAGCAAAATCTTTCTTATATTACTGTTGGCAGCCTCAAACTACCAATCTTACTTTTATGTTTCATCAATTTTTAATTGAACACGAACACCCTCTGAATTATTTTTCCTTCAATTTCTGAATGATTAACAAGCTTCAAGTTGCAACTTTTGATTGCTCATGTGAGTCATTCAACTTATAAATATTACGATATTGTCTATAGGGATAAGGATACACTCTACACTCTACAAGGATCTCCATAACCATAAGAGCGCCATGTTTAGATATTTTGGATATTTCGAATTTTTTTACAACTTATGCAAAGAGATTAAGATACCGAAACATCTATAGAATATGTATCAAAATGACAAAGCAAAAATTTATCAAAATAAATTAGATGAAGCTAAGAACAAATTTTAGGAAAACTGGCTAATCAATTCGTTACTAGGAAAAACCAAGAATTTAAATTGCAAAACTATCTTTGAACAGAGTTTTATTACTGCTTAGTTGCAGAAAACTTAACCTCAAATCGCAGCTCATCGGTAGATCCTAATTTCCTTCTTAGCTCACATAAATATTCCTGGGGTCGTATTTTCGAATATTCTCGCATACGAAATTTGATACGATTTCGAATGCTCCCCATTTAATTTACACTGCTGTCAGTCAAATTTCGTGTACGAAGTGTACTTGAATGAATTCGAAAATACGACCCCTGAAGTTCTCATATTGGTTGCAACATCTCTTCTGGAGATAAAGCATCAGGTGCTAAACATGGTAAAAAACAAAGCTAGCTCAGGCATTGATGATTTGTCTACAAAAATCCTGCAACATCTTCCAGATGCTACTCTGTCAGTTCTTGTTGAACTTATCAATTAGTCCTTTCTTATTGGCTATTTTCCAGGTTATTTGAATCAAGCTCTTGTTGTACCAATTCACAAAAAGGGCGACTTGAAGGACTCATCAAATTTCCGCCCTTCTCTTTCTAAAGTTATTCAAAAAATTGCTAAAACAAGAATTAGGTACCTCTCACTTTGGAAAGTTTAACATTATCACACAATCTCAGTTTGAATTTCAACAAAAAAAAGGAACACATGACGCCATTTTTGCAGGAGTATATCCAATATTAACGAGAGAGATTCGGTTGCGGCGGTATTTTGTGATTTCTCAAAAGCCTTTGACTGTGTGAATCATGAAATACTGCTGCAGCAGCTGTGTCGCTATGGCTTTAGGTGCTCCTCAGATGGGCGTTATCTTATAACACAGGCACATCTTAGATAGTCAGTTGCAGCCAATCCTTATCAAAGAGTAAAGAAATAACCTAAGGAGTGCCACAGGGATTTGTTCTCGGCCCTATTTTTTTCCCTTTTGTCCTTATATTAATGATCTCACCTTTATGATCATCAATGGAAAATTTTATGTCTTTGCTGATGATAGCACTTTATTGTGGACAGGTAAAAGACTAGCTTGAGAACAATCTAAAGAGGGGGGTAAAGAATGGTGTGAAAACTAGTTGTGTTTCAACATAAGAAAAAATAGTATATTATATACCTAGGTAGAGAAGTTGGTCATTATATACCAAAAGCTTTTATAAACCGAGGCGCGCAGCGCCGAGGTTTATAATGCTTGAGGTATATAATGACTTTCTCTACCGAGGAATATATAGAATTTTTTTTACTACTGCTAGTAGAAAATAAAAAAATTGTTTAAAATCTGTGTTCTAATTATTTTTTGTGAACGCCCTCTTGATAGTGCTGCCCTCTATCAACAGCTTATAGAACTTGCTATGTACCTACAGAAACCTGTATTTTTTTTTCAAATTGACCTATAAAATTGAAATGGAACCAATAGAAACATGACAATATCCTTGCGTCATGACGTCATTTTCATTATTGACCTAGGTATTTTTTCATTATTTTCATTATTAACCTACGGAGAGAAATTCAATTTTTTCTTAGAAAAATAGATTGAATAATGTCTATTTCTCAGGTTAGTAGTAAAAAAACAATATTATCTCCTTTAGAATTTCCATAAATTATACCAGTTTATCGAGTCCCATCAGAGTGTTAAGTTTTTTGGACTTGTGCTTGATAAACAGTTAGATTTTGAAGGACATATTATCCAACTTAAACATGCCTAATTTGCTCTTGAAATAGTTATTAAGGAACTTAAATTGCACTCGGCAAGAATGGTGTATTATGCTCACGAGTCTCGGGCAAGGTACGGTGTGGCCTTTTGGGCGGGCTGTTTGAATCTTGAGTGGGGCAGCGCAATGGGAACTTTGCAAACCATTATTCAAAAAGCACAAAATATTAACTTTGACTGCTATCTTTATCCTAGAGTCTGTTTGTCTAATTCATAACGGGCAAATAAATCCAAATGCTGCTAATTATGCCCCTGAACTGCCTGAACAAGACAATGTTGTTAGATTTTTAATCAGACGTTTAGTTTCTTCGCGATGACGAGATCAACTTTGTTTTTTCAAATGGTCGAAATTTTTTATTTTATGCCTAATAAACTACTTTTTTTTACTACTAACCTGAGAAATAGTCATTATTCAATCTATTTTTCTAAGAAAAAATTGAATTTCTCTCCCTAGGTGAATAATGAAAATAACGAAAAAATACCTAGGTCAATAATGAAAATGACGTCATGCCGCAAGGATATTGTCATGTTTCTCTTGGTTCAATTTCAATTTCATACGTCAAATAAAAAAAAAAACAGGTTTCTGTAAGTACAGGGTATTTGATTATATTTGGCACCATACCTAAGGCACACCTATTGTTAGGGCTTCCCTAAAATAGTTGGTGGAAATCGCCATTAGAAAAATTAGGAAGAAAACGAAAATTCAAGATCCGGGAATAGACAAAATATGAGATGGAAAAATTGAAAAATAAAGAATAAATAAATATATACCTACTTAGATAATAATAATATTAATAATAATACCTGAGTAAACTTCAAAAAATTTGCAAAAATATGGCAGCAGGGGCGTGGCTAACTTCTATATTCATATTCAAAATTTGCAAGAATATGGCGGCGGTACCGAATTTCTATTTGAAAAGGTTAAGCCACTGTAGGTTACAGTGCCTCTATACAAGACAGTGGCGACAATTGAGGATCCAATTTTTGATTGGTTCATGTATTTGCCGCCATCTTGTTGCAAAAACGTTCTTGTTTACATTGTTTTCATGAGAATATTGCCGTTATTTTGTAAATTTTGTGATTTTCCAATTTATTAATTGGATTCTGGTACTTATTATTGCTCATTATATAGAAACTTTTGTACATTGAACATTAATCTGTGCGATATTTCCAGTTGGCATCTCAATTTTATTCAGATTTAAAAATTTCGTGTTGGGGGTGAGTACCTACCTAATATTATTAATATTATTTCTAAATTTTCAAACGAATTTCCACTCCAAATATTGAATGAAAAAATAGTTTAAAATATGTGAGAATCCATAGTTTTATGTGTACTGGAGTCTACAACTAAACGTATTTTAGAGATTTTCAATTTTGTAATTTTAGGTTAGGTCTTTAGGATACGAAAACAATGTCAGGTTGTGCGGCCGTACATTACAGCAACTCTTCAAAAAAGGGATTCTTGATGAAACGCTTTTCACGGGATCCGGAAAGAAGGAAACAATGGCTTATAAACACAAAAAGGAGGAATTGGACTTCTACGTTGTTTATTGCGCAGCGAGCAAACCAATTAGCTGCCTCTTTGTTTAACACAGGCAAATAGAAAAGGACAGCAACAGTTTTATCATCAACCTACAGTACCTCTCTACAAGTTTCATTAAATTAATTTCTTTTGAACGTCATAATACAGCTAAGCCGCAAATATTAAAGTTTGCAACAACATGGCGGGTGGGCGGAGCTAACTCTCCATTGTCGCCAATGTTATAAGAGTATTAATAGAGTCACTGTACTGTAGGTGGGCCGGGGTCATTGGAAAGGGTTGAAAAGGAAACAACCAATCAAATACCTTGACGATACATAAACCCCAGAAAGGGGCGGTGCTCAACTAACCAATTAAATGCCCTGCTGATATCACTCGCATCTGATTGGGAAGGGGGCGGGGCTTATATCCAACCTATCAAATGCTTTGTTGATATCCTTCTACTTTGTAGTTAGGAATTAGTAATATAATCCTGTTGCTTTGTCAATAATTTCTCGGGAATTTTAACAATACCTACAGCTTATTTTGAAATTGAAATACCTTCAAGCATAAAACAAATTGGGAAGAATCGTGATTTTAAAGCAAGAACTGCCGAAACTGCCGGTCGGAATAGAGATGAATTTATTTGAGATGCCTTTTATTAATGGACTCTATCAACATCAAATTCCACGACCACAAAGACTCTTGGAAAATTATACCTACATTTGAAGAGGCTGAATCCCAAGCAGTATCCTTATGATCTGCTCAGAAACATCCAGAAAGGATAACGCACACCTTACTTACCCTTGGGATTTTTGGACTCTATGGATTTTGCCCATTTTTTGATATGTTGTAGAGAGGATTTAATTCTAAACAACCTTTAAATGGGACGAAATCTTTCAAGGTATTACCACAGCATATAGTATTACGGTCTTTGAGATATGAGCGTTGAAAAATGAACTTTTTTGCAACTTTTTGTGTGGAGAGTATACGAAAAACTCTTTGAATATAAAACTACAGGAAGGAGCATAACTTCGAATCTGCGAGACCAAAATATGTGGAGGTTGCATATGGCCGACTAGTATTTCCGGTTTGGCAGTGGCGTATATTTATTTAAATATAATTGTCAATATTATGACGCACTCTTTTCGCAGTAATCCCAGTGCTTATTATCACTTGAAACCTCTAAAATCCATTAAACATCCACTTGAATGAGGACACAGCGAACCACCAAAACAAATGATGAGTCCATACTTGGAGGCTCAATATGGCCGTTTCCGTCCCTGCGTTGTCTGTAGTGACAAATAGAAAACGCTCCTTCCTGTAGTTTTATATTCAAAGGAAAAACGAAAAACTGGTGTTTATGAGTGAAAATTTTGACAGGTCGACATATTTCACGTCACTAACAAATGTCATCATAGGCTAAGGCCGAGACCGCACTGGCGCCAACATTGACCCCAGTGTGGTCCCGGCCTTAATCTAAGTTGACATTAATTTGTGAGTGACGTAAAATATGTGAACCTGTCAATATTTTGACTTAACAACATCAGTAGCACCAGTATCTCGTATACTCTCCACACAAAAAGTCGCAAAAAAGTTCATCTTTCAACGCTCATATCTCAAAGACCGTACTACCTACAAGATTTCGTCCCATTTAAAGGTTGTTCAGAATTAAATCCTCTACAACATATCAAAAAATGGGCAAAATCCATAGAGCCCAAAAATCCCATGTTAGGTGTGCGTTATCTTTTCTAATTTTCAAGCAATGTATATACTCGGTTTTTGATTATACTTAATGGATGGAAATGAACAGAACTGTTTGAGTTGTGGAAAGGAAATACTAAAAGATACCAGTGAGATGGCCACTCAAATAAAATAGATTTAGAATGCTCAAAATTAACGAGTTCAGAAACGAAATGTATGCTGCTGCAAAGAAGGTTGCTGATTGTTTCATGTGAGAACTGTAAAGAAGTTTTCAAAAGTATTCCAAAATTGATAAAATTATTGGAAGATGTGAAAAAACAGCTAGAAAGCATGAAGGACCACCAATAACAGGTACGTTAACAAAAAAATACAGCGAATAAACAAGAAAAAACCAGAGGAGATTCTAGTAGTACTACCTAAAAGACAAGAAACAGGATAGTACAGCAACAAAGAGAGCTTTTGAAGAACAAATAGATCCAAGTATCTACAATCGGTACAAATGTGTCTCGAGTAAAGTTTATCCGACATGGCGGAGTAGCAATCAGTAGTAAAAAAAAAGAAAACATAAACAATATAACACTAAACATAAAAGAGAAAATGAAGAATGAGTATGGAATAAAAATACCAGAAGAAAAAAAAAAAGATAGAGGACCAGGACATATGCTCTTATCATTGTTCTACAAAATGGTATAACAACACAGATGGTGAAAGCAGGAGTGTGAAGGTTGTTAGTATATACGAAGATGAGAGGAAAAACCCATATTGCAATATTGGAACTAGACATATAAACATATGAACAAATATCTGGACAAGTGCTATACACTGGCTGGAGAAAATGCAGATATTTTGATTATAATTGTTGGAAATTTGGTCAAATGTCATGGCAGGAGAATGTACAAATAAGGACGATATTTATCATAGGTGTAGTAAAAAGCACAAAAAAGAGGTCTGCAAAAGAAATAATGACATATGTGAAAATTGTAAATATGTGAAGGAAGTTTTGAAACTTCCACAGTTCCACATATAGATTTTCAACATACAGCAGTTAACAGAAGATGTGAAGCATACAAGCTTACAACTACAAATGAGAATGGTAGAAAATTGAAGGATTTCTTAGCAAAATAAACGAAAGACTTCTTCACCAAGGTGCTTCTGGGAATTGACAGTGGAATATTATTAGCTTGCCTAGTGGAATAGTGCCTTACTAAAAAAAGTTGTTCAAAGTATTTTCTATAGACCAGGTAAACACTTTTGAGTATGTATAAGCATCCCAGAGTTAAAAAAAATTGAGAAATGAAGCTAAATATACAATATTGTCGGGAGAGAACTCTAAGCATAAACCCGAGGGCTTATTTTTGTAAAATAAATATGGAGTTGTAGTTAGTAGCAGTACTGCAACAGCCCCAAAATGCAATTTCATACATAATGTGTGACTCTACCAGAAAAAAATATGCGGTCCTGAGAGCTCGCAGCTGTAACTGCTCTGAGAGTATACTCTCAAAGCACAACAGCTAGATGATAACCTACCAGAGAGTGGCACAATATACTGCTCAAACTTGAGACTCTAGTCCACTGTAACTCCAAGAAACTTAGCACCAACAGTGGGATGAATAAAATCACTACACAAGGAGATGTTGGATAATGAGCACTTGAAGTTTAACTTTTGGTCTTAGATAATATGTTGACGGTTAGATTGTTGTTTTCGCACCAGGTTTTTGTCAAATCTAAATCATTATTCACGTATTCCAAGAATTCTTCACTGTTCGCATGCTAAACAATGGACGTATCGTCAGCGAAAAGTTTAATACTTCCCCTGATTCTAAGAGAGGCTAGATCATTAATATAGATCAAGAACAAAAAGGGTTCAAGGATAGAGCCCTGAGGTACACTGCAGTTGTAACTTATTTTATCCGAAACATGCTATATGAAACTACGCTGACGATCACTCAAGTACAACTGAAACCAATTTAGAGTCAGATAGCATTTGTAATACCCATTTAGAATAACCCCATCCTTATTTATCAATCACGAATCAAATGAAACAAAAATTACCAACAAAAACCAATAAACCATACCTTCAAGCTTACGGAGCAACAAACAATTATCGACACAGTGAAAGCCTTAGACAAATCACAAAACAGCTTTGCTGAAAGGTGTTTCTCAGTTGTACTCAAATAGATATCTTCTAGAAGGGATGAGAATATCGCATCAGATGTTCCTTTGCCACACTGAAAGCCAAATTGATTATCGGAGAGGGATCGCTAGAGAATCTGAATCTTCCCTTTTGTGAAAAGGTGTCTTAAGCATGCAGTAGTTGTCTGCATGCTTAAAGGGATGAAATTCCAACAGTTTTTCTTCAAACTTGTACCAATTCAGTCAGTCCTTTGCTCTCAGGGGTAATGTAGGAATGCTTCAAGGAAAGATACGAGAAACATTCAATTTTGACACCATAGCGACATAAGTTTAGTCACTAGAACGACTTTTTTTCCAAAAATAGTGCTATCTAAAAAACATTATAAATATAAAAACACTTACACCGGTAGCACTCTAACGGTCCTTTCACCGGTATCGGGATGCACAGGCCATCCAACCACATCATAACACACATCTCTACCTTTCAGTTCCAGTTCCTGATAATAATCCAAAGGTTTTGGCAAATCCATTAACATTGGCATACCATATTCACCAATTTTTTTCGAACAGCAAATACCAATAGAACCTTTAAGACACCCTAGCAAAAATCGTTTCAATAATAATTTACAATTGTTTTTGTAAAAGAACAAATAGTCGAGATACAGCCAATACCTAATATACAGTTTTTCTGAAAATGTACATATATTAGCCTTATCCCCACTATATATTCTTTTATTGACTTGAATTCAGCCACGAAATTTCCAAATCTGATTATTTCTATACATATTTTCTTACCTAAAAACATAAGTCCGAATAGTATCCCTAGAAATACAATACAAATCAAATTGAAAGTGCTTTCGAAGACACTTTTACGATAAAATGGTTCCAAGGCAGTGTAAGGCTTGTACTTGCAATGTCTACCATTCCTGTTTCTAACTTTTCGGATTAATTTTTGTTCTTCGGCGATAATTAAATGGGAAAATATAAGGAAGACAAACAGGGAAACATAAAATGAGGACATAATTGACATTGATGGACATTGACACTTGGAAAATGTACTTAATATTTTGTGGGAATTTATAGTCTCATGGCAATTCAGTTTAAGATTTTTTTATCACAAATAAATACAAAATAATTACATTCTAAACAAATAAACAACTAAACAAAAACAAACTCTTAGGATCTTGGGAACTAGAATTAAATTTTCAATATTTCACAAGCAGTCCTACCACAGACTGTTTGACTGGCTCCGGGCGATATTTCTAGTCTGGCAAAAGTACCACCGCTATTTCCTTTGGTTAGTTTTTCTGGGTTTACTACTAGGACATCGTCAAGTTCCTAAAAATGAAAAATTCTTGCTTGTAAATTTTAATTTTGCGTATAGAAATCGTAAATAGATGATCCTTACCTTAATAAAAAACCGAAGAATCGATGGCAAAATCATAACATGAGGTTTCAAAGCCATCACTCCGTTTCTTTCCATCAGACTGAAATCGATGCACAAGTCTTTGGAGACTGGTTCCAAAGGGTAGAAACTTTCCTGTTTGAAAAGGTAAGAGGCCAATCTACCCATACGGTCCGAAGGGGCCGAATTTGTTTTGTCTCTAAAAAGAATTGTTAGGCTATTAACTAAGAAAAAGAAAACAGATTTTTTCTATGCGGACAAGTTAAAACTTTATCATCTAGAAATGGATGGACAAGAAAGAGTTTATATATGAAAAATGAATTAATTGTTGATTAAATATTTCCAACATAAATAAATTACTTACACATGAATCTCGTAGCTCCCAATATCAAACAAAATATCGGCGGTGGTAGCAGCCACGACCAACCCATTAATATTCACCATACAAGGATCAGGCATAAAAGTCAAATTGGAATACCTCTGGGCGATTTCATAAGGAATAGTCGGATAAACTGGATAATGGTGAGGTTCTTTATGGGAAGAAACCACCAAGACGTGTGTATTAGATGGCACTCCTTGCATAACGGTATCGATGAGGTCCAAAAAGAATGTGTCAACAGTTTGGCGGAGTTCTCCGTTGAAAATGCCCGGGTGGTCTTTGTGGTAGAATGGGCCGGTTAGTAGAAGTACGTGGGGTTGGTGTTCTCTTACGTATTTGAGGAGATCGGTGAGAGGTTCGAAAGAGAGGTTGTCTTGAGGTGTAAAGGGACCGCAAGCGACTATCATTTGTAAAGTATCTGGAAAAATAAAATAAAATCAAAATTAATTTCTACATGTTGTAGTTTGGGATTATTTTGTTTCACAAAAAAAAGTAACCTTTTCAAATCCTATAATTAGGTATAATGATGAATTTAACATTCCAAACGTTCAAATCAATACGGTACTGTGACAAATCATAAATAAATCTTCCACTAATCTCGCTGATCTAGTTAAAAATAAGTTTTGTCTATAGTTAGTTCGGTAAGGATTTATTCGAAAGGAATGGTTAAGCCTGGTTTGGTGAAGGCGAACGTGAAGCCCAATCTTACATATGAGTCTCGAGTGAACTGAATTATAGAAAATAGTGAGATCTGATCCCTATGTATGCGTCGAATCTGGAGCGAGTTTTCCAAATCTGAGTAATTCACGTCATGAACTCTATACTGCTCTTCAAAAGCTACATCCCTCAAAAACTTGTTTTGTACTCTTTCAATAGCTAGAACATGGACATTATAATAGGAAAACCACACAGACGAACAATAGTTCAAATGAATTCGCATTAAGGAGCAAAAGAGTAGTTTAAGGGATTGAATATTTAGAGTCTTCAGTGCAGCGTTTAATAAAGCCCAGCATTTGTAGTGCTTTGGACACAAATAATAATAAATGCAGTGTGTAAGACAGGTGATTATCAAGTAACACTCCCAGAGCTTTTATTTGAGGGACTAATAATAAGAGAGAGTCCCTTATATTATAGATTCATTGTATAGAATTTTTTTCTCGGCTGAAGTTTATTAGTTGACATTTGTTGATGTTAAGTTCAATTCTATTGAGATCACACCATTGAGTTAGGGAGTCAAAATCCGATTGGGGTTTGTTGCAGTCGTCCTGTCCTGACTGTAAAATTTCATCTAGAATTTTCGATCATCCGCAAATAACAAAAAAGATGAGAACCGGAAACAGGATGCGGTGCAATATCATTTACATAAATATTGAGGAGTAGGGGTCCTAAACGTGAACACTGCGGAACGCCTGATGGAATTTTCATTTCGGTGGACTGAAAACTCTGGATTCTTACAATTTGGGTTCTATCTGTTAGGTTAGTTCAGTGTTGCCAACTGATGGGATGTGAAAATACCTAGATTTGAAAAAAAATATCCCTAGAATTCCCTAGAATTAATTTTTTTCAAATTCATTTTAGAATTATTATTACAGCCTAATAATAATTGTAATATGTATTGTAATTCTTGTAATTTACAAGAAAAAAAATCATATTTTTAAAACTAATCGCACTAATCCTCAAGTTTTTAAAAAACAACACAAAATTTCCAAAAGTAATAAAACATATTGTTATGACGTCACTGGTAGCGATAATAGGTCTGTTTTTGCAGAAATCACAAACCAGTCAGAGTGAATTGCATTGATTGAAACTAGTTTTCAGACTGTTTCTGACTGTTTTCAACCAATGAAATTCGCTCTGCCTGGTTTGTGATTTCTGCAGAAACAGACCTAGTGACGACAGACTGTTTCCTGATTCAGATTCGACGCGATTGTTGCAGGAATCCCCACACACATCACGTTACAAAAAAGGCAAAGAGCACTTTACAACATAAAAATGATACTGTTGTACACTTGGCCAAACATAAAACTGGTACAGGCAACAGTCAATGTATATCTATTTTTTAAATTTGCCTAGTGTGAGCCAGGCTTAACAACAACTGAAAAACTTAGGTCAGACAGTTTTTGTCAACGACAAAGCTGAACAGTACATGCAATACGTTTTTATGTTATGATTGGTTCAAATATGACAATGACTTGACTCTTTTCGTCATTGTTGAGGTGATAAAAAAGGTCGATTTACACAATACAACACAATAGGAAAAGCGTACCAGTTTTATGATTGGCCAAGTGTATGTTGTATGAAATTACTCAGACGAACCAATAATAAGGTGACTTTCGATTTTTTGAAGAATTTATAATAATATTATTTTATATGTTTATTTTTTCAGAATTAATCAAATTGTGTAAGAAAAATTAAAAATATCAGAAAACCCCTAGAATTTCCCTATATCGCTAGACAATTTTTTTTTCCATATTTATCCCTAGAACTAGGGACAATTCCCTAGAGTTGGCATCACTGGGTTAGTTAGGAATGACCAAAATGACGTTAGTCATTCTAGAAGCTCGCCTAGAATTAGGCATGGGATAAATTAACCGGTTATTGCAATAACGGGTTAACCTAACATTTAAACACCGGTATTTTAACCTAATAACCGGATTCACTTACTAATAACCGACATTCGGTTATTCGGTTGATAAAAAAGAAAATATAAACTATTGATTTATCTGTCCCCATTTATAGGTGCTTATAGCACACCTTATAGCATGGTTACAATCGCAAGAACTCCCAAAAAATTTCCAACGGAATGCAATGGAAACTTGGATTTTCCATGTTTATCTATGTAAAATAGAAAGAGAAAAAAAATTAAAAGTGCCCTCCTCGATGGACATAATTGGCTTTTTTTCTGTTTAATTGTGTCAAACAGAAGGAGATAGTATTAGTAGTGAAGAAAGAGTAAATTATAACCGTTTATTATGATAACCGGTTATTTACTAAATGTAACTTATAAAATTCTTAGCGGTTACTACTCGCCGGACATTATAATGACAGACAATGTATAATCTGAATTTGAACCAGAATCGCAGTCTCAGAGGACACCACCAAAAATTAAAAAAAGAAAGGGCCCGACTTCTCAGAAGGTGGAACTTTCTGAGCAACCGTGTCGTACACCAGTGAAATTCTTTAAGTGAAGAAACTATAAGTGCATCTAACAAGAATGTGTTTTATTTTCTGCTTAACTAAATAGCCAGCACTCAGAGGATTTATGAATTTGAAGAACCAGTTTGTGCTTGACTCTGTTGAAATGGTTCATAGCATAGGGCATAAAAGAAAGATAGACCGAAGCCTAAAAATATTCCTGGAGGCTGACCTTACCACTGAACTGCGCACTGAGGTTAATGCTCTTAGAAATAAGTTAAACAAGAGACAACAAAATGGAGAAGCAGATAATATCCTAGAGTACGTGAACGGTATTCTAAAACTGGTACAAAAAAACTAATAAAAAGACCCTCCCATCCAAAATCCACACCCATTTCCTCCATGTCGATATATTTTCATAATGTTAAGGGACTGCGCACTGCGATTTTTCAACTTCTTTTTGACAATGTCTCATACCAAAATATCACATTTTGGTCTTCAATGAAACATGGTTAACTGAAGATATGGATAGGACCAATCCACCGATACTAGTACCTTCCCTAGAGAAGGTGCAGTTCTGATGGCAGTACGTAATGCTATTACTAGCAGAATATTGCCAGCTACCAAAAGCAGTGAACAGGTGTTTGTCGAAATCGAATTCAATAAAAACAGCTTTTTGGATTTAGTGTTTTTCAAAGACACTTACGCCTCTCTAGTTCCGGCAGAAAATGCTCTACTGACAATAGACCTTTATAGTCAATCACAAATAATGTCAACAGTATTTTCCACACGTGTGCTGAAAGTACTCTTAGCACGCGTATTGAAAGTACTTTCAGCACGCGTGTGATATTTAGCGTTTTCCAAAGAACCAGCTAGTGCGAATTTTATCATTTTCGTATGTGGTCGTAGGAAAATATGATTTTATACAAATTGAATAACAGCATAAATATTTTTGAAGAAATCATCAAGATTTAATTTTTTTGAATTCCTTTCCCCTCACTGTACCTGACAGTGTTCACCTCCTCAAGAGAGCAAAGTTGTTAACTTGAAGCATGCGCCATTTTGTGACAATTTAAAGGACCATGCACTGATCTTATGAGAAAAAATTAATTTCACGATTGTCATGAAATTGAAATATGTTATGCTTCTCGACCTCCTGAACGTAAGTTCTCGTAGGCCCAAAAATATCATATGATTAGTTTCGGAGCCAGGTTAACATACAAAATTTTGACAAAAAATAAACATTTCAAATATGTTAAGTTCAGGCAATGACATATTCTAGGTTAAAAACGGGTGTAAAAATGCCAAAGTAATGTCATTTGAAGCTTTGAAGGTTGAAAACTTGTCGAAAAATGCCAAAAATATGTCATTTTTGGTTATGAATTAAATTAATGTACCAGCAGATTCTGGAGTTTTTTCTTGTACTACCTTTTTTTATCGGTCCTGTATCTCCGAAACTAATCATAGGATCTTTTTGGGCCTACGAGAACTTACGTTCAGGAGGTCGAGAAGCATAACATATTTCAATTTAATGACAATCGTGAAATTTATTTTTTCTCATAAGATCCGTGCGTGGTCCTTTGTATCTAGATAATTTTTTTTTGCAAATTTGTTTATAAGGTTGCCAAACGTCCCGATTTTACCGGGACAGTCCCGATATTGGAGATTTTGTCCCGTGCCGATGGACTATACGTCGGGACGCTAAATGTCCCGATTTCACGGAATTTTTTAAAAAGTTGGGAAAAATTAAAAATAGGTACCCACTTATAAGACACTTATTTTTGAATTGTACTTGTTAATTATCTATTACTATTATTCATAATTATGTCAAGATTCTTTTGATTTCGACGATTAGAATAAATAAACTAATGCATTTTAGGTAGGTACTTTATTAGGGATTAAAAGTACCCTTTTAATCCCTGTTTTAAGGGGGTTAAGTGGGTTTTTCAAAACCCGGGATCAAATTTCACTTTATTTCCCAAGGGATTAAATTTTCACTTGATTTCCCGGAGATTGAATGAAACAGCGTCGTTTTTTATTTTTAAATTTTGTTAGAAGTTTTATTGTTCAGTTACATTTTATTTCCTTTATATTGAATTATTCCTTCAAAAAAAAATTGTCCCGATTTTTATTGAAAATCCCGATTTTTCAACAGCTTTTTGATTGGTATACCCGATTTGTAGATATCCCAATCTGGCAACCCTATTTGTTTAGAGAATTAAAAAACCTTTCAAACAAGGTATCACATGACCCATATAGGCCGGGAGGGGTGATTCAGGGAGA